TGATGTCGTCGATTGTGTCCTGATCGCCTTCGAAATCAACACGATGCTCGCTGCCGGCGACAAATTCGACGTCAAAGGATAGCGGATAAGATATTGCGGAAAACTCTTCGACGGTGCGGCTTTCCGCCCATAGGTTTGTGCTCAAAACAGTCAGCAGCAGGGCTGCAATCAGTTTACTTTTCATACCGTTAGTCTCGATTAAGGTAACCTCTTTGAGGTCGTTGCTCAGCACAAAAAAGTTCTTATTGTTTAAGGAATTTGAATACGAAGCGACTGGTTTGACCGCTGATTGCCGGATCGAACACGGAGATATCCAGCGGGTCGTCGCTGTTGTGCAGAGCTCTAGACTCCTCCACCCAGGTGAAGCCGCGGCCGCCGATGTCTCTTTTAGCAAAGTCGGCCTCGATGCGATGAAGGTCCTGCGCGCGTGAGTTACCGCTACCCGCTGCCCCGTGATGATCGATGATCAGCAGCTGACCACCGGGTTTCAGGACTCTGTGAATGGTTTTAAACAGGGGCTCTGCGGTTACTGTCCAGCCGCTTTGAGAAAAATAAACGTCGTGATATGTCTTTACCAACAGCACAAGATCCAGGCTGTTTGAGGGTAGGTTGATGTCTTCTACCTCGCGCACGTAGACCTCCACGTTGGGTAGACGCTGGTTTTTCACCCGCTCATTGAGCTTGCTGGCAAACGCCATATAAGCCTGATTGTTGTGCAGATAGACTTTTCCTTCTGGACCCACGGCCTGCGCCAGCAGCTCGGAGTAGTAGCCATTACCCGCAAACATATCCATCACCTGCCAGCCCGGTTTAACACCCGCAAATTCCAGCACGGTAAAGGGCTTGCTGGTGATGTCCCGCTGTATGTCAGCGGCACTGCGAAGCGGAGCGTCTGCTGCCAGGCTGTGCGCGGTAATTGTCAGGCCAATCATGATCAGAGCCAGCTGCTGGGCCGATGAACGAAATTTTCTGCATGTGTTTTGTTGCATGGATTCACTTACAGTAGTTGGCTTGATGTCTTAACTGCACAATCTGGCTCAATTCAACCTCGTTTAGCGGTTAGACACAATACGCAGGCATTATAATGCCTGGGTCGAAACTGAACTGGCGTTACACGCAAAAGGACGTTAAATGAATAGAGATCAACAAATACAGACGATTGCTGACCAGTACACGTCAGCGCAGAAATACAGCGGCATACAATGGCGTGTTGAAGCAGGCGGCGAGATTTTGAGCAGCGGCGCGTCCGGCTTTGCGGATGCAGCGTTGCGTACACCGATACCTGAGCACGCCATCTACCGGATATACTCGATGACCAAACCGATTGTCTCGGTTCTGGCGCTGATGCTTATGGAGCGCGGTAAGCTGCGGTTATTCGATATGTTGCCGCAGTTTGATCGACGATTTGCACAGATGCGGGTTTTGACGCCGAACGGCGATATTGTGCCTGCGGTACGTCCGATCACCGTTGAAGACCTGCTGACCCATCGGTCTGGTCTGACTTATGAATTTATCCATGGCTGTCACATCGCTCAGTACTACCGGGAGGCTGAGATAATTGGTGACAGTAGCCGTACGCTGGAAGAAATGGTGGGTGCGATTGCGCAACAACCTTTAGCGTTTCATCCTGGGAGCCAGTGGCGCTATGGTGTGTCCACTGATGTGTTGGCTTACGTTTGTCAGGTGGCGGGTGGTAAGCCATTGGCAGATCTTTTGGACGAGTATATTTTCACCCCTCTGGGTATGAGTGATACGGGTTTTTCTGTCCCCGCTGATCAACTGCACAGACTCATGCCTATGTATGGCGTTGGTGATTTGCGCGCGTTGCCTGCATTAGACATAACACCACAGACGCTGGAGCCGATGGATATCAACGATATGCATCCCACAGATCAGCCGCAGACATTTCAGCGTGGTGGTCATGGTCTTTATTCAACCCTTGCAGACTATTGTGCGTTTGCACGTATGTTGCTCGATGGTTGTGACAGCGAAGGTACGCCACTGATTTCCCGCACCACGCACACCATGTTGCAGGCTAATCGTCTACCTGCTGATCAGGTGCCCATTAAAATTGGTCCCGGCGCTTTGCCGGGTTATGGGTGGGGTCTGATTGGCAGGGTAATGCTGGATCAGGGACAGGCGGTTGCGCTGACAGGTGAGGGTGAATTTGGCTGGGCTGGTGCAGCATCCACTCATTTCTGGGTGGATGTTAAAGAGCAGATGACTGGCGTAATCATGTCCCAATACTTAGGGGCAACTTTACCGCTTGCCGATGATATGCGCACAGCCGCGTATCAGAGTCTGGCTTAAAACTCAGCTGGCGTGTTTGTAGTCTTGTTTGATGAAGTCGCTGGCACGTTCAGCGATCATTACCGTTGGTGCGTTTGTGTTGCCTGAAGTAATGGTTGGCATAACCGAGGCGTCTGCAATACGTAGATTGTCAATGCCGTGAACGTTGAGGCGATCATCTACCACGGCGTCTAAGTCGCTACCCATTTTGCAGGTGCCCACTGGATGGAAAATGGTGGTGCCGAGGTTTCTGGCAGCGTTAATCAGCTCATCTTCGCTCTGCAGTTCGCTGCCAGGTTTAAATTCGACTGGATTGAATCTGGCAAGCGCTTGTGCCTGCATAATCTTACGTGTCAGTTTTAACGATTTGACGGCTACATCGACATCTTCTGCCGTTGCCAGGTAGTTAGGCATGATCAGGGGGGGCTTATGCACACTGTCGGACTGAATGTGTATGTGTCCGCGGCTGGTTGGCCGCAGGTTGCAGACACTGGGTGTTATTGCATTGAAACGATGCAGGGGCTCGCCAAATTTTTCTAACGATAGAGGTTGTACGTGCCACTCAATGTTGGCGGAGGGTTGGCTTGGGTCGCTTTTATAAAAAGCCCCCAGCTGAGAGGGTGGCATCGTCATAGGGCCGGTTTTGCGAAGCATGTATTCAAGGCCCATTGCCGCCATACCCCAGGGTGTGCGCGCACGTTGATTCAGCGTAACGGTATTGTCGACCTTGTAAATGATGCGCACCTGCAGGTGATCCTGTAGATTTCCGCCGACGCCGTTGATCTCTTTGTTTATCGCAATGCCGTGCTGCTGTAACAGCTGGCCTGGACCGATGCCGGACAGCTGCAGGAGCTGCGGGCTGGCAATGGCGCCGGCGGATAATATAACCTCGTTATTAGCCTGCCAGGTCTGAGTGCCTTTTGGTGTCGTCACATTGACACCGCTGGCAGTCAGCTTCCCGTCCTCGCGACTGAAATTCAGGTTGGTAACAACAGCCTCAGTCACTATGGTCAGGTTCGTGCGATGTTTGATCGGGTCAAGGAATGCGCGGGTGGCGCTCCAACGTCGACCACTTTTCTGATTCATTTGAAAATAGGCGTTGCCAAAATTGTCGCCGCGGTTAAATTCTTCGATTTTGGGTATGCCACATTCTTCTGCAGCGTCACGCCAGGCTTCGAGAATCTCCCAGTTGACGCGCCGTTCTTCCACCCTGAGTTCACCATCGGTGCCATGAAACTCATCAGCACCGTGCTGATAATTTTCCGATCGTTTGAAAATGGGCAGTACATCGTCCCAACCCCAGCCACGGTTGCCCAGCTGCGCCCAGTGGTCGTAGTCGCTGCGCTGACCGCGCATATAAATCATGGCATTGATGGAGGAGCATCCACCCAGGACTTTGCCCCGTGCGTATCCAATTGAACGCCCGTTTAAACCGGGATCAGGTTCCGTATTGAAGCACCAGTCGGTGCGCGGGTTGCCAATCGTATACAGATAGCCAACCGGGATATCGATCCAGAAATAGTTGTCTTTTTTACCGGCTTCCAGTAACAGAACAGTTTTGCCGGGGTCGGCAGACAGGCGGTTGGCTAATACACATCCGGCTGTGCCTGCCCCAACAATAATGTAATCAAACCTCTGCACATCAACTCCTCAACCTGACCGCGCCGGTTAGGATAACAGAGCTGACGTTGCTCGGCCTTCAAGCGGTTGCAGGCGTACCCTGTAATTCACGATATTCTTCCGGCACCTGCAGGTGCAGGGTTTGTCGTACCTGTTCAATAGGCAGCGTCACCAGGTACTCCCAATCCTGAGCAGGTAACCAGGCTGCTTTTTTGCCGTCGCGATAAGCGCGCCACGCGGCTTTGAAGACACCTACGCCGTAGTGTTCAACCAGCTTGGCGCAACCGGTCAGACAGATGACGCCAATGCCCCGATTTTTAGTCTGTGCATAGGTGAATGCCAGTAGACACACCTCACCCAGCTCATCGCGACCATATTGGGTCAGGGTGTGCCAGAGGTCATGCATGTCTCGCTGGCGCATACCAAATCGCTTTATACCGCCTTCAAGTTCTTTGTATTCACCTTCTTCGCTGGCTTCAACCAGGCCGTCTGCGCTGATGTTCTGACTTGTCACAAAATCCAGATAATGGCGGCCAAGGGTGTTGGCGGGTAAAGCAGCAAGGCTTTCCTGGTCCTGCAGTGTGTCCAGCAGATCTATCTCATCTCTCAGAATGCGCCGACCCACTTCTGTATCGGCAAAACGAATGTAGCTGTCCTGCAGGGCGGGGCCTGATAAAGCCCTGATCACAATAAAAACTTCCTGTGTCTGTTCCGGGTCTGCAATCAAACGACGCAACGCCTTAAAAGCGACCATGGGCTGCATGGGATTTCGGTTAGTGTGCATAAAATAGTACCTCGAAAAGGACCTTATCAACATTGATGTAGATAGTAGCTGGAATCAATGCTGAGTCAACAATAAATTACTGGCTTTGTTGTAACGCTCTCTTTTTAATAACGTGAACCAAAGGGTGGGAAGCACATTGGCTGTAAGACGTCGACGTACCGCGATTGAATCAAAAGCACTGATCCTGGATGTCGCCGCAAAACGTCTGCGGGAACATGGCTTGGAAGGTTTGAATATCACAGGTGTTGCCGCCGAAGCAGGCATCTCTCACGCAACTCTGATTCATCACTTCGGTTCCGTGGGCGGCATGCGTGATGAGCTGGCAGACAAAATGACGCTGGCCCTGGTGTGCGACCTCGTTGAAGCCCTGGATGCCCAGGTGCCACCTGAAACGCTCATTGGCAATCTATTTGATGCGCTGGCGGCAGGTGGCCATGCCAAGCTGCTTGCCTGGCGTGCCATTGAGGGGTCGGATAAGCCGAACGATATGAATGCAGTGTCCGAGTTGTTCGGCCGCCTGTTGCGTACGACTCGAGAAGTGTTAGGGGTAGACACCGATGCTCAGGTGCGACAGGTAGTTTATCTGGTTGCTGTTGCAGCCATTGGTCACGGTCTGGCTGGCGATGTGCTGGCTGGTCTACTGGGTATGCCGGATCATGAGCGAGAGGCATTTCCAGGTTGGATGAACACAAAACTGAGCTGACTTCGCTTTCTACCGCTTATCCAGAGAACCGCTATGAAACTTTATATGGTCCCCGCCGCGCCCAATCCAACCAAGGTGATGTTGTATATCGCGGAGCGTGAGAGTCTGGGTGTGCAGATGAACATTGAGCAGATTGTGGTGAATACCCTCAAGGGTAGACATAAAGAGGATGAGCATTTAGCACGCAATCCGTTTGGTACGTTGCCTGTGTTAGAGCTTGATAGTGGACGTTATCTGATCGAATCATTGGCGATTATTGCCTACCTCGAAGACCGCTTTCCCGAGCATCCGCTCCTTGGTGAGGACATAGAGACCAAAGCTCTGTGTCGGGATCTTGAGCGGGTTATTGATATCCGTCTGGCCACGCCGCTTGCACAGTATGTTCATCTTGTTAATTCTCCCCTGGGTCTGCCACCTGATCCGATAGGCGCGAAGAAAATTGAAGAGAATTTGCCGGCAGTTATGGGTTATCTCGAAACGCTGCTGAGTGATGGGCGTCAGCTCCTGATGGGTGAACAGGTATCGGTTGCAGATTGCACCCTTGCGGCGGCACTGCAATTTGTGCGGTTTGCGAAGCTGGATATGCTGCAGGGATACCCGGCATTGCAGCGCTGGGATGCCAGCTACCGTGAGCGTCCCGCTGCCCGAAGTGTGCTGAAGTTCTAACGCTTGCGCCCGCTTTTTTGATCGTTGTCCAGGCACAAAAAAAAGCCCCTGAAGAGGGGCTTTTCGGCGTTTGCAATATTGTCAGTGACTCAAGCTACGCCGCTTCTGCTGCGCTGAAGTGCTCAAGTTGCGCTAACGCATTACTTAAGGCTTTGTAGAAGACATCCGGGTTGAATTCCTCTTCCAGCATTTCTTCAAGTGCTTCACGTTCCCAGCTTTCAATAAGATCGTCCATATCTCACCTTCCTAACAATTTAAGTTACATCCTGTGACTTGATATTAGGTAAACCGGACGACATCTCCGTGAACTGGTTCTCTTTTTGAAAACTGCCTTATCGTTGTGATTTTGGACTGTTCTGGCTACAACATCTCCGATGCAATCAACTCCAGTGCTTCGGGTTGCTGGCTGCCCAGTAACATAGAGGCGACGTGTCCTTTACTGCCTGCGGCTTTCCAGGGCGCCAGACGCTCTCTGATGCGCTCAGCAGGTCCAACCAGGTGGCAGGCATCAATCAGTTCCGCCGGTACTGCGGCTGCGGCTTCATCTTTCTTGCCCGCCAGGAACAGATCCTGAATCTTCACAGCCGCGTCTTCGAAGCCCAGGGCTTTGGCATAATTGTTATAGAAGTTTTTATCACGCGCGCCCATGCCGCCGATGTACAGCGCCATATTTGCGCGTATCGGCATCATGCATTGCTCTACATCGTCACCCATGATCACGGTCACAAAGGGTGAGACTTCAAATTGGGTCAGATTCTTATCTCCCGCTTTTGCAAAACCCTGTTCGATAGGGTCCTTAAAAACAGAATATTTGCTGGGATCCATCCAGATTGGGAAAAACCCATCACAGACCTCTGCTGCTGCGGCCACACCTCTGGGTGTTATGTTGGCTGCAAAAATTGGAATGTCTTCTTCACAGTGCAGAATACTCTTTAATGGTTTGCCTAACCCCGTTGCACCTGGGCCGATATAGGGCAGCTGGTAAATCTCTCCGTCGAAGGTGGCTTTTTCCTGTCGCGCAAAGATTTTTTTCATGATCTGCACGTATTCTTTCAGACGGGTGACAGGTTTTCCGTAAGGTACGCCATGCCAGCCTTCGATCACCTGAGGACCTGATGCGCCCAGACCCACTATGAATCGGCCGCCGGATAGTTCGGCGAGGCTCATAGCGGTCATAGCCGCCATTGCCGGGGTGCGTGCGGGCATTTGCATGATCGCGGTGCCAACTTTGATTTTGCTCGTCTGAGCAAGTATCCAGGCGGCAGGCGTGACGGCATCGCCGCCCCAGGCCTCTGCGGTCCAGACGGAGTCATAGCCCAGTGATTCAGCATGCCGGATAGCGTCGAGGTTGATGTTGACACGGGCGCCGATACCGCCGCCTAAAATGCCTAGTTTCATAGTTGGTCTCCCTGTTTAAAAAAATTCAGAAAATTGTATTCGGAAAAATGAAAATTATGGTGATCTGCGTGCGTCGAGCCACCAGCGCATGGTGGTGGTCACCAGATCGGATGCGTCCTGTTGCACGAAGTGGCCGGCCTCAGGTGCTGTGACGATGGTGAGGTCTGCATCGATCCAATCCCAGGTGTTGTTGAGGCCATCAGAATGAAGCGCGGTATCCTTCAACCCGTGAAAAACCAATACCGGCATTTTCAATCGTGGTGGTGGCGCTGGTGGCGGGGTGCCTGGCGCCGGAGGTGCAGGGTAATTGGCTTTGTAAAAGTTCAGCATGCCAGCAAAGCTTGAACGCGCGAACGCAGCTTCGTAAATGGGTTTTGCAGCCGGATCGCTGACCCAGCCGGCGAGGGTGGTGGGGTTCATCGGGCCGCCAAACATGATGTCTGGATCGCTGGGTGAACCCTCGCGGAACTTACGTGCATAGTCTGAATTTTCCCGCTGCTCGGGGTTGTTGGCCATCTCTCTGGCCATACCCATGGGATGGGGCAGGTTCAATATGACCAGGCGCTCGGTCATCTGAGGCATGTAAAATGCGAACTGCCATGCTACGGCGCCACCCCAGTCATGGCCGACGATAGTTGCGCTGTCGCGTCCAAGGTGCTGGATAACCGCAGCAACATCGCTGATCAGCAGCGGCATTGCATATTGCTCGACACCTTCGGGTTGCCCACTCTTGTTGTAACCGCGCTGATCAATGGCAACAACCTGGTAGTTGTCCTGTAAGCCAGCCATCTGGTCGCGCCAGGAATACCAGAAATCCGGGAAGCCGTGAATCATCACGACGAGAGGGCCTTCGCCGACGCTGGCATAGTGAATTTTGACGCCGTTGTTGTCCGCAAAGCCGTGGCTTAGATTTTTCAGGGCGGTGTATTCTACAGTGGCAGAGCCCTCGGCTATCGCGGAGGTTGAAATAGTGGCGCTTAAAAGCAAAACCAAGCTGATCAGGCGCATGACGCGTCTCCCCTTATCTGCTGAAGATTATTGAAACGTCTCTAATCTACTCTATTGGATGCCTGCTTGGGTAGGCTGCAAACCAGGTGTGATTCGGCATCATTCAATGCTTCCCGGGGATAAACACAGCTTGGGCGGACATTGTGGCGCTCGCCGTTACTGTCGACCTGCCAGGTAGCTAACTCTTCTGGTGCGACGCCATGTTCAACCCAATCGATCAGCGGCGTGATGGCGTCAAAACGATCCGGTCCTGCGCCGCCGCGACAATGGAACATGCCCGGCATCATGAAGGTACGGAAGAAACTATCGACATCGGTGTTCAGGGCTGCCACCTCTGCCCGGTAGGCCAGCAGCGTCAGCGGGTTTATGTCCGGGTCCGCCCAGCCAAAATAGCTCAACAGTTTGCCGCCTCGATTCTTAAAGCGGCTCAGATCAGGATCCACGGCGTCAACTATGGCTGAAAACCCGTCAAGACCATCCGGGCGTTCGGCAAAGTCGAATTGCGTCCAGTCGTAATCTGGTTGGTCTTCGATAAAAGTCATGTAACGAAAGAAATCGGAGCCCAGCAGGTCAAGCAGCACAGGACCATTGTCGTTAAGTAACCAGGGGAACCAGCCGGAACGTAATTCCTGTGTATAGGTGGCGCCCAGCACTTCGCTGCCCACTGGCATGGCTGGATAAACTTCCTCTCCAGCAAGCATTACCGGCGCGTAATACTGCTTCAGGGCCTCGCGTTCAGCTTGATCAAAACAGGCGTCGGTATCTGCACCTTCACAATGTGGCAGGTCCCGGTCGACATCGAAGTCGCAGCGCCTGGGGTCCGAGATCAAACCGTCTTTAGTGCCGTCGAGGTCGTCGCAGGCTGCGTAGATATGACCGGCGAGCACCAGTGCTTCGGTTTCAGTGAGGCCAGATCTGCTGATCGCAGACACGCGCCAGGCTTGAGAAAATTTCAGGCCGGAATAGTCTGCCGCAGGCGCACCGGCAATAATGCCGTCGAAATCCTGAGGAAAACGCTGTGCACTCATCAATGCCTGACGGCCACCAGTTGAGCAGCCGTTGAAATAACTGTACGCCGGTGCTTTGCCGTACAGGTGAGTAGCCAGAGTTTTGGCTGAAACTGCGGTCAGGTGCACAGCACGAAAGCCGTAATCCACCAGTTTGTGAAAGTTATTGTGCGCAAATGTACCGCCGGGCTGCACACGTTTGTCGTGGCCCGTATCCGTGTACGCGGTTGCAAATCCATGGGCCAAAGCCTGACCGGCGGCATAGCGGCGTGCCGGGTCATCCGCTGGGGTGCCGGCCAGTCCACCGTTGCCATACATGTAGAGGCGGCCATTCCATGCCAGCGGTAGATTTACTTCGAAACGTATTTCGGTAGGGATGAGGCCGTCTATGCGGCAGTGTCGGGGGACAGATTCGGTGGCTTCGATGAGGGTGCTGCTGACCACGGTGAAATCGAAGGTTGAGACACTCATCAGATCGCGACAGGACAAAGCCGCCTGGTGAGGGGTGGTTTTATATTGCACCAGAGAATCAGCGGCGTTGCTGAATGGGTCTGCGTGGACCCCTAAACCGAACAGGAGCAGAACAACAATTGTTGTGCGCATGGGTTCTCCCTACTTTCTGACCCTTCGTTTCAGTCTGTCGAGTTTTTCTTTCCAGTGCTGGAATACTTCCGGGTCACCGCCGCGGTCAGGGTGATGTTCCTGACACATGCGTCGCGCTTCCATAATTTCATGCACCGGTAGAACCAGTTGCAGGCCCAACGCTTCAATTTCGGATTCGCTTAACGTTTTTACCGGGCTGGCATCATCTGGCGGGCGATAGAAGCCGCGCCAGGTGCTGTTCGAACGATTGGCGTAAGAGACAGGTCCGGATAGACCTAGTTTCCATGGATGGTTTTTAGACGGCTTAGGCATAAGTCAGTATAAACCTGGGCTGTTTAAGTACACGCGGATGATAGACCTCGATTTGGCTTGGGGCGTGTTGAAACGGGCAAGGTAACATATTTATAGCAACAGTTGAGATTTAGGCGGCTTGGCTTTGTAATGGCAGTCCGCTAATGAAAGAGATAGAGATGCCCAGAACTGCTTTGATCGTTCTCATGCTGATGTGGTTTTCCTCGGTTCCCTTAACTGCGCAGACCTCCGACCCTCAGACAACAGAATTCCTGGCAACGCCGCTGGCCTTGGATGCGCAAGGGTTCCAGGAGGTCTTGTTTCAAGTTGCCCCAAACGTATACCTCAGTGGGCAACCCAGTGAAGCAGGCCTGGCCCGTGCGAAGGAGCTGGGCGTTACCCGGGTCATTAACCTGCGTACAACCATGGAAATGGATAATCGGGAGGTGGTACCTTTTGATGAGGCGCAGCTGCTCGCAGAGCTGGGTATTGATTATGTCCAAGTACCGTCGGGTGGACCAGATACGCCTTATTCTCCAGAGCGGGTCGCGCAAGTCGCTGATGCAATAGCGGATGCGCCAGGCAACGTATTGTTGCACTGTACGGTTGCGTGGCGGGCAACCCATCTCTGGACTGCTTATCTGATTGAGCATCAGAATGTACCTTTTGCAGATGCTTTAGCGGTTGGTCGCCAACTTAATTTTGGTACGTTTCCATTAGAGGGTTTCCTGGATGCTCCGCTGACGGTTACCCCGCTGCAACAAGGTGATAACAATGAGTGAAACAGCAATCAGTCGATTCAGTTTGCCCAAGCTGGCTGATATGCCGACCGATATCCGCGAGCGCATCACAGCCATCTCGGATAAATCCGGTTTTGTGCCCAACGTTTTCCTTGTGCTGGCGCGGCGACCGGACGAGTTCAGAGCCTTTTTTGCCCATCATGATGCGCTTATGGAGCGTGACAGCGGATTGTCTAAAGCCGAGCGTGAAATGATTGTGGTAGCCACTTCCTGCGCCAATGCCTGTCAGTATTGTGTGATTTCCCATGGAGCAATTTTACGTATACGCGCCAAAAATTCGTTGTTAGCAGATCAGGTTGCGATTAATTATTTGAAGGCTGATATCACACCGCGGCAGAAAGCGATGCTGGATTTTGCCATGGCTGTTGCGCTGGACAGTGGTTCCATTGAAGACCAGGACATCGAGCCACTTTATGGACATGGGTTCAGCGAGGAAGATGTCTGGGACATCGGCGCGATAGCGGCATTTTTTGCCCAGAGCAACCGCCTGGCTAACCTGTCTTCCATGCGGCCGAATGCTGAGTTTTACAACATGGGGCGCGATTTCTGACCTGGTAGCCCAGGTCAGAAGTGACACACTGATTAGCGTCTAAGCGCCGGCTTTAGCGGCAGCCTCACGTGCTGCTCGAACTTTGTCGTTGGTCTGGTTAAACAGGATTTCACGGCGTGCCTTCTCCTGGGCTTCGGTGAGTTCCTTCTTGCCGAGTTCGCTGCCGGCGTTACGGCCGGCCTGTACCGCAGGGCGCTCGGCCACTTCGTCAACCCAACGTTTCAGGTTGGGGAAGGTCTCCCAGACTTTCTCGTCTATCAGGCGACCCAGCAGAAATGCCCAGGGCCAGGTGATGATGTCTGCAATGCTGTAGCTGCTTCCAGCAAGGTATTGGTTGGCGGATAGCTGTGCATCCATAACGCCAGCCAGGCGGTCTACTTCTCCAACAAAACGCTTGGTGCCGTACTCAAGCTGGCTTGGATCGTCAGCGATGTTTTTGCCGTAATTCTTGAAATGGTTGGCGTTGCCCATCATGGGACCTAGATTGGCCATCTGCCAGTGTACCCATTGCAGGACTTTGTATTTCTCCGCTGTGTTGGTGGGCAGGAACTGACCACTTTTCTCTGCCAGGTATTCGAGGATGGCGCCAGACTCAAATAGGGCCAGAGGTTCGCCGCCACCCAGAGGGTCGTTGTCGACAATGGCGGGCATACGATTGTTGGGGCTGATTTGAAGAAATTTAGCACTGAACTGGTCGCCGCCGCCTATGTCGACAGGCACAATATTGTAATCCATGCCGCACTCTTCGAGCATGATAGTGACCTTCCAGCCGTTCGGCGTTGGCCAGTAGTGGACGTCGATCATCGTTCTCTCCCTTCGCTGTGTATCGAAAACATCGTCTTCAGAGTAACGCAGCCCACGGCGATTAGGATAGGGCACAAGGTTAGAATGATGTGTGCTAACTTTAGACGCTGCTGGAAGATTGCGGCGGCCCGTTTGTCATAGTGACGACGGGTCATAAATTCTGATTAGGAAGACGATTGATGGAATACAAAGCCCTGGCACTTGACCTTGATGGCACTACTTTGGTTGGCGATGACCTGCCAGAAGTGAATAAGATTGCGCTGCAGAAAGCAGCAGCTGCCGGATATGAGATTATTGTTGCCACTGCACGCTGGATTCATATGGCACAACGTGTCGCCGACCAGATCGGTACACCGTCAGTCGCGATAGCCTGTTCCGGGGCGCAGGTTCATGACCCGCGTGTGGCGGAGGATATTTTTGACAAACGCCTGCCACCGGATTTTGTTGATGAGCTTTTTGCAGTCTGCAATGAGGCACGCTGTATTGCTACGGTCACCGTTACCGATCGTGTGTTGCTGAAGCTGGATGGCGCCCCTGATCCAGCGCTGCTGGATGAAGAAATGATCTGGGTGCCACAGTTACAGAGACACGATAATGATCTGCCGCGCATCGCAGCGATTCAGGGCACTGCGGTCTGTCAGCACATCAAAGACGTGCTGCGACCACGTTTTGCCGGCCGGGTAAATATTTATGATTCGATCGGGCCGACAGGAAAGCTGGTGTTGACCATAACGGCCAAAGAGGCCAATAAAGGCCTTGCGCTGCAGGCCGCCTGCAATCACCTGGACATCGATCCTGCTCATGTGATTGCGTTTGGTGATGCTGAAAACGATCTGGCTATGTTTGCGCTGGCTGGCGCCAGTGTCGCGATGGGACAAGCCCATCAGATGGTTAAAGATGCGGCAGATTATGTCTCAGCGCGCAATGACGAAGGCGGCGTTGCCCAGGCGATCGAACTTATTCTGGCGAATGGCAGGTTGCCTTAGCAGCCTGCTAATCCTCGTCAAGACTTTCATCCAGCGCAGCGGCATCGCCGTGCTTGACCACTCGTTTGTGCACTTTATTCATCGCTTTGAAAATTGTATCCGTGGCGTTGGAGACTTCTTCGTAAGGGTCAAAAAATATCGGGTCGAGAATGTGTGACGCGACGGGTCCTGGCACCTGTTCTTTGCTGCCAGGTGGACGAATGGCTTTAAGGCCGGTCATATAGATTGGAATCACGGGTACGCGCTTTTCCAGCGCCAGTATAGACACACCGTGTTTGAATTTCCCCAGAGATTTTCCGCGAGAACGGGTGCCTTCCGGAAACAACATCAGATTACAGCCCTGATCTAACAACCATTTGGGGTAGTCGAGGGTTTTGCTGCCACCGCCGCGTTGGATGGGGTATAGCCCCATGACCAGCGATTGATACCAGGGCTGGAGCTTCCATTCTTTGCGGCCTTTTAAAAACCATCGATCTGCAGCGGCGCCAAAATAGATGTTGGATCGAATGTGTTCCGGCAGTGCGCCCAGCAAAGCGTACTGGTCTAAGTGAGATGCATGATTGCCAACCACAATGCAGGGTCCGCTGATGTTCTGAACTTTTTCCTGGCCAGTGACGGTGAATGGTTGAAAGTACTCTTTCTCCCATTTAGTGAATGCGGTACCACGCATCATACGCCGCACCCAGCGTGCCCAGCCTTGAATCTGCCAGGTATGTGGCCCACCAGTTTCTGCACTTTGTGAGATCAACCTTTGGAACAGTGGCAGATCAATGGCGGGCAGAATTTCGGTATGGGCGGTGGTGGATAATTCCTGCGCCAGGGTTGCTCGATAAGCTGTGAAATTGTCCGGAGCATCAATGATGGTGCACTGGTCGTACTCACCCAGCAGGTGATAGCTTTCGATGACTCTGGCTTCCCATCTTTCGATGGAAGCGTGAATGCCCATCAGGAACTGAGGGTCTTTTTTAGCTTGTACCAATCCCTCGGAGTGGTACTTCATCAGCAATACGTAGTGGCCCATCGTGCAGACTAGACGCTAAAGCTTACTGATCACCTTTTACTTCGGTCTTACGTGGGGGCGCAGCCGCCATGTTGTTGAGGAATTCTTCAATCGGCATACCCGGCAGCGTGGTGATTTTAATGGTGCCACGGGAGCCGAGTTCCATGGATATACGCGCCATCACTTCGTTAGAAGGCGCATCTATGACGTTAACAAAGTCGTAGCCACCCAACACGGCGTACTGGGCGCGGACGCGGGCGCCCATATCTTCAACTTCGTCGTTTACACTTTTAAGTCGATCAGGACGCGCTTTAAGTGTTTTGCGGCCTTCATCGGTCAGCGTACTGAGCATGATATAAGTTGGCATGATCTCCCCTTGATCTTCCTCTATCTCAGCCAACTGTAAGCTACTGGAAAGAGATCTGCACTAAGACTTTTTCAACTTTCCAGCACGTAGCGCCCGGGTGCAGCATCAATTTCCGGGAAATTGTCATTACCATAGGCGATGGGGGCCTGTACCGGTTCGGCGGGGCTTTTCTCTTTCAACCAATCAATCCAGTTTAATACCCAGCTACCCGCGTGCTCATCGACGGTGTTAAGCCAGGCTTCCGGGTCAGCGGGATAGCTTTTGCCGATCCAGTGTTTCAGGTGTTTGTTATCGTCACGGCTGGAGATGGTTTGCGTATGGTTCTGGTTGGTCAGTACAAACTGAACATTGTCTGCGTTAAACAACTGGGTGCTGCGATAACAGGCTTTCCACGGAGTAATGTGGTCTGTAGAACCCGCCATCATGTAAACAGGGTAGTCGATCTTAGACAGGTCAATGCGTTTGCCTAGAATTTTCATCTCCCGCTTCGCCAGTTTGTTATGTAACGACAGGTCGAGAAAGTCTGCATGTAGCCCGGCAGGCAGGCGTGTGTAGTCAATAGACCAGAACAGCAGTGGATGTTTTAGCGGGTCTTCGCCTTTCAAATAGTTGCTGCGTAAAAAGCCCATGATGTTTTCTTCAAAGCGCAGCATGGCAAACATTTCAAACACGTTCTTTTCTTCAAACAGGCCGCTCATGCGCGTCATCTGCTTCTGCGCTTCGACAGAGCGTTCGCTGACAAACAGTCCAAAGTCACTGTCTTCAGGTCGATTGTCGAGTACGTTAACAAACAGCGATAAGCTGTTGATCCAGTCGTCGCCGCGTGCATTCATAACGCCTGCCGCCGCTGTTGCTGCAAGGCCACCGGCGCACAAACCCATGAGATTGACCTTGGGTGCACCTGTGATTTCCCGGATCACACTCACAGACTGAATAATGCCATCTGCGTAGGAATCCAGGTTCCAGTTGCGATGTTCTTTTTTAGGGTTGCGCCAGCTGACGGCAAACACCGGTATGCCCGCATCAAGCAGGCGCTTGAATAAACTTCTGTCCGGTGTGAGGTCACCCAGATAGAAGCGATTGACCTGGCTGAAGACATACAACAACGGTGCGTCGACAACTTGGTCTGTAGTGGGTTGATATTGAATCAATTCCAGCAGCTCTGATCGATATACGACAGCACCTTCGCTGGCCGCAACATCCTGGCCGACTTTAAACGCGTTGCGGTCAGCACAGGCTGGATAGCCATGGTTATGCTGCAGATCGTCGACGATGTTTTTTAAACCACGTATGACGCTGCGGCCTTTAGTTTCCCGAGCGATGCGCATGGCTTCAGGATTGCCCACCAGTGTATTCACAGGTGCGAAAATGTCTTTGGCAGCATCGAAGACATAGCGTGCGCGCTCCCGATTCATACCTTCCAGCTGTGACTCATCCAACCAACCGTCCAGAGCCTGGGTCCAGGCGATATAGGTTTGTCCTAAGCGTCGGTACAGGCCGTTTTCGATCCAGGCAGGATCCTGGAATCTTTTATCATTGGGTTCCGGTGATAGATCACTGTTACCCATAGCGATACTCGCAAATTGGGTAGCAAATTCCCGGGTCACATTCCATAACGCAGCGGGTTGCTGCCTGGAAGTTTCGAAAATATCTGCCCAGGCGTCCATAAACGCTTTGCGATCAACGCCAAGCGCAGCGTTCAGGGGAACGCCACCATCGGTCTGGCGCCCTGAAGCATTCTGTTCAATATTAGGTCGTTTTGAGGTCGATTTGTCTTGATCCATGTGCTTTCCTTCGCCCGGTAAGCTCAAAGCTTGCCGGGTGTTGCGGTTCCGGGGCGCTGTGCAAGGTTGCTGCGCTCCGCTATGCCAGCCAGAGTTCTGGTCAACCAGCGGGGTTGATAATGTGCCCAGTTTACAACAGCCTGGTTAAAGATACCTGGTACACGTATCACTTCCCCCTGATGTAAAGCGTTGTAACCCTGCAGGGCAACATCCTCAGGCTGGCTCATCATCAGCTGCGCGCCGGGGATATGATCTGTTCCCAGATCACCAACCATCTCAGTGTCGGTCAGACCCGGGCACAGCGCGCAGACCTTGATGCCACTGCAGCGTGTTTCTTCAGCCAGGCTTTCGGTAAATGATAGTACAAAGGCTTTACTGGCACTGTACATGGCCATGCCGGGTACTGCCTGAAAACCTACAACGGAGCTGACGTTGAGGATCTTGCCTTGTTCCGCGGCGAGCATCTGGGGTAGGAAAAGCGCGCTGGTTTCGCTCAATGCCCTCATGTTCAGATGCACAATATCGTGGATCCGCTCCAGCGGCATGGAGGCGAACCGACCCTGGTAGGCAGCACCTGCGTTATTAATCAGCGTATCGACAGGGCCAATTTCACTGACCGCTGCAAACAGCTTTGCTGGTCCTCTGCGTTTTGCCAGATCAACAGCAATAACGTGCACTTCACACAGCGGTGCCAGCTCGTTGGCCAGCTCCAGCAGTTTATCTTCCCGACGTGCACAAATAATCAGGTTGTAACCACGCTGGGCAAAAACTTTTGCAAATGCCCGTCCGATGCCAGACGAGGCGCCGGTGATCAGGGCAAGAGGTTTGCTATGTGACATGGGTTAATGCTCCGTGAATTGGGTGCGTTCACTGGTGAGCCGCGCGCTGTACAGTAAAGTGGTGAACGATTGTGTTAAGCAGGCTTCAAAGAACGCCGGGTCGGGAAGAATCTCTCTGCAGCTGGTGAATGAAATCGTCACGCGACCGCAGTAAGACAGCACAGGGAAAATCAACCCCATACCTTGTGTGATGGGGCCAAGACCAATTGCGGTCACCATGGGAGAACCACTGAAATAGAGCGGTTCCTGGGGCCCGGGTATGTTGGTGATCGAGACATTAAACGGCGGTGCTGGTGCATTTGCAGCCGTTTCTGTCATCAACCGTGAAGCCAGCGCCGCGGTAAAAGCCGGTACAAACTTGCTGTAGTTGGTCATATCAGATGCCCCAACAGCCTGGTGTATGAGTTTGCTTTTACTGGTCTCCGCATGGATGTGTTGCAAGCGCGCTAACGGTTCTTCTATGTCAGTACCGATAGAAACAAACAGCGCGGAAACACGATTGCCGCCAGCGGCTTCGCTATCTTGCGCGTCGCTGCCAGGTACACGCAGGTTGACCGGGGCCATGGCCACCAGCGACGTCTGATCAATTTCGTTTTTTGCATGCAGGTAGGAGCGTAGAGCGCCGCCGCAGACCGCCAACACCACATCGTTTACGGTTGCACCAGGTACAACCTGGCGAATTTCCTTGATGTCAGCGAGGCTGACACTGATTGATCCCAGCACTCGATGGGCGGTTACCATGCCGTTGAAGCGTGTTTTTGGAATTGCTTGCGGTGGCGTGCTGAACGAGTTTTCTCCGCCGGGTGCGCCTCCGTTAGGGAACGCACTCATCTGCTGGCTGAATTGGCGGCCCAGGGTTTGCGCGAAACGGAAGGGCTGGGTGAAATTTTTCACACCACTGCGAAATAAAAGCTCTGCGTCTGTGGGTACGGGCTCTGGCTGCCATGATTCGCGTGCCGCCGGAATGGGTGTTGGTGCCGGTGACAGATCGTGCAATAACTCCAGAAAATGCAGCCCGGAAGCCCCATCAACCGCGGCATGGTGTGTTTTGGTGAGTACTGCAAAGCTGTTGGGAGGTAATCCAGGAATATTGTTCAATCCCTCAATGACGGTGAGTTCCCAGAGCGGTTTGGTCATGTCCATGGGTCGAGCGAAAATACGTGACGCCAGTTGTTGCAGCGCATCACGGTCGCCCGGACTCGGCAATGCCACGCGGCGCAGGTGATATTCGAGGTCAAAATCTCGATCTTCGATCCAGTAAGGGTAGTCAGCTTCGAAAGGTACCTTCACCAGGCGCCGTCGGGTGGTTGCGTTGAGATGCAGGCGTTCACTGACCGTGCGGCTAAGAGCCTCTTCCGTCAGGCGTTCCGGGTCAGTCTGGCTGCCATCGTAAATACATAACGACCCGACATGCATTGGCGTGGCAGGCGTTTCGAGATAGATGAATGAAGCGTCTTGGAGCGAAAGCTGTTGCACAGTGACAGTCCTTATCCGCGGAAGGGGTTGTGTGTACTCGTAGTGTAACGCGTTAGAAATAGCGAAGGGCAGACCTGAAAGGGGAGAGGGGAGAGAAGATCAGGCCTGCCCCGCGTTAACTGTCGGGTGCAGTTGCTGCACCCTTGATAACAATTGAACTTACAATCCCCACGCTGGCGCGAGGCTGTGTGTTCTGTATGCCTTAAGCGGCAACTGCTGCGTCGACTGCTTCAGCAACTTCTTCGTTAGCTGCAGCGACAGCGTCGTTGTTTGCTGTGAATGCGTCGCGAACAGCTTCACCACTGCGCTCTACTGCGTCTTTCAGCACTTCGCCGCGTGTCTGCAGGCGCTCGGTCATGCCGTTGTATAACGTTTTGCCGTATTCACGCTGCATTTCAACGAAACCGCTGATGTCGCGGATTTCAGCCATACGCTTCATGAATTCCTGGTTGGTTTCAAAATACTGCTTGAAACCTTCGCCGGTGATTTCGGCCATGCGACGCGCCACTTGGGTGTTGATTTCGAACAATTCGCGACCCAGTTTCATTTGATTTTCGATAACACTCATTCTCATTTCCTCTAGTCGTTTACTTCTGCTGAAGGATGCATTGCAAACGCCCAGCAGCTGTTGAGATTTTTGCAACACATGGTGCGCTGCACAACGAGGAGAATTGTGCACCACACAATTGTGCGATGCAACAACTTTTTCAAAAAAAACGACATATTTTTAAGCTACCTTCTCTACGAAGACGTTTCCTGGCGGTAATGCCAGATCTGCAGCAGCTTTAAACAAGATGTCTTCGGCCATTTTATTCGTTTCTAACGGTACTATCTCAGCCGAGACGGCGTTGTGCAGTGCTGCATAGGCGTCCTGTATATCGTCTCTCAACCGGTCAGCGTCCGGTGCAACCCGAGTGGCTGCGGTTACACCAATGAATAACTGATCCACATAGCTTTGCACGGTGATGTTGAGGCCCGCCCCATGTGCCGGGATTGAGACCGGATAGTGGCTCAGCATTCGCGCGCCATTAGAATAGAGTGGCACCCGTGGTCCTGGCACGTTGGAAATCACAACGTTGACTGGAGGAGGGGTGTGGTCTGCCCATTTCATTAAAGCGGCAGCGGTTTGCAGCCCCCTGGCAGCCAAACCGAAAAACGGCATGTGCAGGTCTGCGGGCATCAGCGGGGATGTCTCCGCAAGCATTTCTTTGGCCATGCGTGCCTGGTGGGCCACATAACCCACGCGCTCAACCGGATCTTCAATATCTGTGCCCAGAGCGGTGCGCATCATTGATACCTGATTGTTGGCACTGGCATCGTTGGCGGCCCGCAGCGATACAGGACAGCCGGCGATCAAAGTCCTGTCCGGCAGTGAACCGTGTCGATTCAGGTAGGTGCGTAGTGCGCCGCCACACAGGCTTAGAAAGACGTCGTTGATGGTGCAGTTAAGGTGCTTAGCCAAGTGTTTTACGCCGGATAGCGGAAGTTCGCCCGCTGCAAATACGCGTCTTTCGTCGATGTGTCGGTTCAATACCGTCGTCGGGCACGCTGCCATGGCGGTGCTCAAACCTTTGCTCGGATCAATACTCCGCTGCAGCAGGCGCGCCATAGCGTTGAGTCTGCCTGGCGCGCGCGTGACGCTGTTGATGCTCTGTTTGGTCATCTCGGTCAGTAAACCGGTTAACTGATCAGCGCGAGTCATGGGTCTGCGATCTCCAGGCTCAAGCCCCTGGGTGGGTACTTCGCCGTCGGGCTGCTGATCCATGAGGATGTTGTAAGAAGCCTGGGCGGCAACGCCGTCCAGACATGCATGGTGTACGCGGTTGTAGTACGCAACCTGTCCGTTGGCCAGTCCGGTGAGGACAGCAATGTCCCACAGTGGCTGGTGTCTGGGCAACGCGTGTTCGTGGAGACGGGCTACGGTCTGCTCTACCTGCTTGAACCCGCCGGGGGCAGGCACGGCTACGGTGTAGATATGGTTGTTGATATCAAAGTCTGCATCTTTAACCCAATTCGGATGATCAAGATTGCCGCTTGCATGTTCCAGGCGGCTGGTCAGATAAGGTACCAGGGGCGTGCGCTGTGAAATGAAATGTTTCAGGGAACTAACAAATTCTTCAACGGTTGTGTTATCCGGCAACTGCATGTACTGCAATGAAGCAATACTCATCGGGCAGTCTTTAGTTTCAGCGTATATGAAGCTAGCGTCGGTCGCCGTTAGCTTGTTCACTGGTATATTCTCCTTTGTCGTCTGGTGGTTGGGGTGTGTTGTTTAATGCTATTCAAATTCTGTGCCACTCGTTTGCCCCCGGATTTTCCGGGTTTCGAGCTGAGTCAGACAGGTATAGGTGCGTTACCGCGGTGCAGGATCGGATCCATCTGATCCGCAATGGTGCATGACGCGATCTGCGCGCATCATACAATTGAATTGTGACGTATCAATGAATCTGACACATCTTTTAAGGGTTTATTTTGTCTGGTCTATCTGTCCGGAGACGGCTTTGGGATAGCTCAGAGCGCGCCACCCCTGGCGGTGGAAGGGTGTGAAGCTGGCCTCCTCTAAAGCGAGTCGGTCAGCAACTGCGTACAACACGGCGGGGTGAATGCCCAGGCCGATATGGCTCGAGTGAACTTCGATATTCTGTCGTCGTGCGGATTCTTCCACGTGGGCGCGGCGCCAGTGCACCACACCGTCAGTGCGGCTATAGATAGCTGTCACCGGAATCTTTGCAGAAACGTTCTGCAAGCCGTGCCGTAAACCAAAACTGGGTACGGTTGGTGTGTTCAGCAGCTCGCCGTTAAGCTGGCGAGCGGCACTGCGCAAGGCGGTGAACATGGCGGTGGTGGGACCTTCGGTACGGATCGGGCTGCCCAATGTAACTAATTGGCGCACCGCGTAACCTGCGCGGTCGGCAACCGCCAGCGCATGGACACCCCCCAGACTCCAGCCGACCAGGCTGACGGTACGACCGGTTTTGCGGTAGATCCTTAACACGTGATTAACCAGTGGCTCGTATCCACCCATTTTGCTTATGCCGAGATTGCGACCCTGGCCCCAGGTATAGGTGTCATAGCCCAGGAAGGTCAGATATCTGCGCAGCAGTGCGGTTGAATCATCGCTGGCAAGGAAGCCCGGTATCACCACGACAGGGTGGTTGTCGCCGCGCGGTGACAGGCTCAGCCAGGGCGCCGATGCGGCCAAAGAAGCCAGCTCAAGGCCGGCGCGAGGCAGTTCAGACATACTCAGCAGTCGATGTTGGGCGGGATTTGGCATCGGCAAATGGTCCTGAAAATTGACCATATCCATTTTGCCGGTGTTTTTTTGCATTGCAACATTTTTATTAGCCCTGTTCCAGATTGGTGCGGTACTTTTTGCCTGCTTACGCTTGATCTAAAGGGATTTGCTCAGTTCAGCGGTCTGTTTGTGAGGTGGAAATGTACAATCCCAGCGATGTTGTGGTGCACAAGTCAGCTGCGCTTAAGTTCTGCCTTTCAGTATCAGAGGTGGGTCCGGCAGCCTCATGGCGACTGGTAAAAGTTTGCACATACCGGCACTATGCTCGGAGTGCGGTTTGCCAGCCATACTGCAGTGAATTAGGTATCCGCGATCTGGAGCAGCGCAGCGTCAGTGCATAAGTTAAAAAAATATCCGAATCGTCGTCTTTACGACATGACCGACAGCAAATATGTCACCGTGGATGATGTACGCAAACTGATTGTCAAAGGCGTGAGCATTCAGGTCATTGATTCTAAAGAGGAAACAGACATCACCCGGTCGGTGCTGCTGCAGATTCTGGCGGAGCAGGAACAGGAAGGGCATGGCACTATCCTGACCAATCGCACGATCGAGCAACTGATTCGATTTTATGGAGACAGCGTTGGGCGGGTCGTAAGTCGTTATATTGAAGAAGCGATTTCCGCGTTTATAGAGCAGCAGGAGCTGTATCGCGACCGCATGCGTCAGTTTAACGCGCTGAATCCGCTGAACGTCATGCGCCAGGCCTTTGAATCGAGTTTCAAAAGCGACGCCGCAAAAACGCGTTCTGCAGCTGACAAGACGACTGGCGGCCCGAAAAAGCCAACACCGGAAGACGACTCAGCTGCCTGAGACGCGACGCTCTACGCCTTCCCAGTAAGGTTCGCGCAAATCTTTACGTTTGATTTTCCCAACCGGGCTCTTAGGTAACGGGGTCCGGGTTATTTTCACGCCGCCAGGCTTTTTGTAAGAGCCCAGCGCCTCCGACACCATGGTGGTAACTTCGTCTTCTGACAGGGTACTGTTGGCATTGACTACGCAAACCGCAAAGGGCGTCTCGCCCCAACGTTGATGTGGAATACCAAAAACAGCGACTTCTACAACGTCGGGATGGCTGGCGATGACGTTCTCCAGTTCTGCCGGCCAGATGTTGTAACCCCCCGAGATGATCATGTCGTCTGCCCGATCGACAATATATAGATAGCCGTTTTTATCGAGTTTGCCCAGATCGCCAGTTTTGATCCATCCGTTAACAATTCTCTGCGCATCTGCTTCAGGGTTGTTCCAGAAGCTGCTCATCATGCCGTCGCTTTTTGCGACTATTTCGCCGACTTCGTTTGCCGCCAGCGGCTGATTGTCTTCATCCCAGATTTCAACTTCTGCAAACGGTAACGCTAAGCCGCAAGCGCGGAGCGGGTTGGATCCGGATTGGGAAGCAAACCACTGCTGGGAATTCATCATTGCAACAGGTAGTACTTCGGTTTGCCCGTAGCCCTGGTACAAAACGTCACCAAACACTTCCCGTGCCGCCAGAGCGGTAGCGTCGGCAATGGGTGCAGCAGCAATCAACAGACATTTCAGCGCGCTATAATTGCGCCCGCGCGCGGTATTGTCATGCACGATCGCGTTAACCATTGTGGGCACCATGAACGCGTAAGCGATTTGTTCCTGCTCGATGAGGTCCAGGGTCTGATTGGGGACAAATTCGTCCTGCATGACATTACATCCGCCACTTAACCAAATCGGTAAAAACTGGTAACCCGAGCCGTGTGATATCGGTCCCAGGTGCAGGCATTTATCGCCAGGTATCACAGGCGGGAAGGTATAAAACCAGTCTCGTCCTGCTGCCAGCCAGGCTTTGTGTGTATAAGCGACACCTTTGGATAATCCTGTGGTGCCGCCGGTATGGCGAATAATGAAATAGTTGTCCGGGTTGATGTCGACATCAGGGTCTGTGTCACTGAATTGCGCCAGCCATGTTTCATAACCGTCATCGCGAATCACGATATGTTGCAGATCAGGCAGCTCGTCCATCAAATCGGCAACCTCGTGAGCGTAGGCTGCGCTGACCAGCAGCACTTTGCAGTTGGTATGACCCAGCATATGGAGGTGGGCACTGCGGCCATTACGTGGGTACAGGGGCACCCGGACCGCGTTGGCAACCGCTGCACCAACAAAAAGATCACCGGCCTCAATGCCGTTGTCCTCCAGGACGCCAACTCGATCACCGGGTTCTATTCCCAGGCTTCGCAACCCGTTGGCCAATTGCACGCCACGTTGCCAGGCTTGTGCAAACGTCAGTCTCCGGCTGCGATGTACTATCGCTTCATGCCCGCTGTAGTGTTGCGCAGCGCGGCGCATAAGTGTGCGTACGTCCATTATTCCGGCTCCCCTTAGCCCATGACCTCATGCTACTGTACCTGATCAATAGCATAGGCTTAAGGGGAGAGTATGCGCTTGCAGAATAAGGTTGCGATCATCACGGGTGGTGCGAGCGGCATGGGAAGAGACACAGTCATGCGCTTTCTCGCTGAAGGGGCGCGTGTCGTCATCGCGGATTTTAACGAGATTACCGGTGCCGATGTTCTGCAGCAGGCATCGGAACAGGGTTTCGCTGATTCTGTGAGATTTATAAAAACAGATGTCGCACTGGAAGCTGACATTGAAAAAATGTTCGATCTGGCCTGCACTGACTTCGGTCGCGTCGACATTGTCTTCAACAATGCAGGTGTTGGCGGCGCCATCGGACCGCTTACGGAAACCACCACAGAATCCTGGGACTACACCATGGATGTGCTTGCGAAAGGGGTTTTTCTCGGTATCAAACATGGCGCCCGACACATGCGTGCTCAAGGTGGCGGTGGCACCATTATCAATACAGCGTCAATTGCAGGTCTGAGTGGCGATGCCGGACCTCTGGTTTATTCCGCGGCCAAAGCGGCTGTGATCAGTATGACCCAGAGTGCGGCGGTTGAGTTGGCACCAGACAGAATCCGGGTAAACGCCATCTGCCCGGGGTTTATTGCGACGCCTCTGGCTGCCGGTGGGGCACCGGAAAAAATTGAAGCCAGGTTTGCCCAGGCACAGCCCTGGCCGGATTTTGGCAAGGGTGTGCATATTGCGGGTGCTGCGTTGTTTCTCGCCAGCGACGATGCTGAGTTTGTGACCGGTGAAAAACTGGTGGTCGACGGTGGGCTCACCGCTGCAGGCCCCGAGCTTTCCAAGCGTTTTCCCCAGGTGTCCGCGCGTGATGCCAAAATTCAGGGCGTCACCAAAGGCAGCACTGGTGCGGCCCACAAAGTCGAGCGGCTCAACGGCTAATCAGAGGATCTAGTTTGAATACAAAAGCACTGTCCCTGGCGGGCACGCCTGCTGCTGCGCCGATCGGCTATTACTCCTGGACCTTTGGTCAAGGTGCCCGTGATCCCTATTACATCATGGTGGTGATCTATATTTTCTTTCCGTATTTCAGCAATACGGTGGTCGGCGATCCTGTTCAGGGGCAGAGCTTAATTGGTTATCTGAACGCGACCGCGGGTTTCATCCTGATGCTGACGGCACCTTTCCTGGGAGCAATTGCAGATAAAAACGGCCGGCGTAAACCCTGGGTCGCTGCGACGGTGCTGGTGATGGTTGTTGGCGCTGGCTTGTTGTGGTTTGTGCTGCCGGAAGGGGGTGGTGTAGGTATAGTCTGGGCTCTGCTCATACTTCTGGTCATCAGCGTCGCCTTCGCCATTTCTGAAGTCTTCCACAATGCCATGCTGCCTTCGGTTGCCCCGGTCAACAAGGTAGGCGCAATTTCGGGGATGGCATTTGCGCTGGGTAACGTCGGCGGTCTGTTGTTGATGCTGTTTGTGTTGTTTGCTTTTGCCATGCCGGGTACGCAGCCCTGGAGTTTTTTGCCGGCCGAACCTCTTTTTGGCCTGGACCGCACCAGTCATGAACATGACCGTGTAGTAGGCCCAATTTCAGCGGTGTGGATGTTGTTGATGACGCTGCCGGTATTGTTTTTCACGCCGGATGGAAAAACTTCTAGCACGCCGATGCTGGTTGCTGCCCGCCAGGGCATACGCGATGTCATCGAGACAGTGAAACAACTCAAGCACTACTCAAACATCGCCATTTACCTGCTGTCCCGGATGTTTTTTATCGACGGTATGGTGGGTGTAATGACCTTCGGCGGCGTTTATGCGTCGGGTACTTTTGGCTGGGAATCCACCACCTTGCTGATTTTTGGATTGTGCAGCAGCGCATCGGCTATGTTGGGGGCTTACGTTGGCGGTAAGCTGGACGATAAGCTGGGTTCAATAAGAGCGCTGCAGATTGCCATCGGCATGAGTTCGCTGGTCCTGCTTGTCCTGGTTTCGATACAACCCGGGACAGTGCTTTATGTGGTATCGGTGAGTACCGAGCCGGTTTGGGATTTTCCCTACTTTCAGACCACGGCAGAGATCTGCTACTTCATCTCGAATCAGATTTTTGCGATGTTTTTTGTCACGGGTTTGTCTTCTTCCCGCACGTTGATGGCACGTATATCTCCGCCGCAAATGGCCACACAGTTTTTTGGTCTGTTTGCTTTATCCGGCACGGTGACAGCATTTCTGGCGCCTTTGATGGTGGCAACCACAACGGATTTCTTCCAGTCTCAGCGCGCGGGTTTTGCCTCGCTGGCCATTCTGATGATCATTGGCGCAGTGCTGTTGCTGAAAGTTCGTGAGGAACAGGCAACCGTGGCCGGCAGCGGTTAGTGCTGCCGGCGTCGTTTAACGGGTTCAGTCGCGAATGGTGACCGGTAGTTCACGGATACCATTGATGAAACTCGATTTCAGATAAACCGGCTGGCCGGTGACCTCTATATGATCGAATCGTTTCATGATCTCTTCCCACAACACACGCAGCTGCATCTCGCCAAGGCGATTACCTACACAACGGTGGATGCCAAAGCCAAAAGAAACATGTTTGCGTGGATTGCTGCGATCTATGATGAACTCATCCGGGTTTTCTATGGCGTCACCATCTCTGTTCCCGGACAGATACCACATGACAACACGATCACCTTCTTTAATCTGCTTGCCACCGAGTTCGGTGTCGGTCAGAGCGGTTCTGGCCATGTGTGCAACCGGTGATTGCCAGCGGATGATTTCAGGCACCATGGTATTGATCAGATTATGGTCTGCGCGCAGTTTGTTGTACTGCTCGGGAAACTGATTAAGCGCAAGTACACCGCCACTGATGGAGTTACGCGTGGTGTCATTGCCACCAACTATAAGCAGCAGAATGTTGCCGAGGTATTCGTTTGGTGGCATATCACGTGTGGCTTCGCCATGCACGAGCATGGAGATTAGGTCGTCGCCGGGCTCATTTTGCGCCAGACGCTCCTGCCAGACGGCTGCAAAATACTCGTAACACTTCCACAGCTCGCCAAAGCCCTCTTCGATGGTGGCAAAAAATTCTGGATTACCCAGATTCTGCACCGCATCAGACCAGTAAATGAGTTTATGCCGGTCTTCCTGGGGCACGTTGAACAAAGTGGCCAGCATCTGACCGGTGAGTTCAACGGAGACCTCTTTTACCCAGTTGAATTCTTTGTTGCGTGGGAGATTGTCTAATATGGCGCAGGCGCGTTTGCGAATCAGATCTTCCAGGCCCGCAAGTTTTGACGGGGTAAACATAGGCGCAACAACTTTGCGTTGTTGATCGTGTTTTGGCGGATCTTCCTGGATGAACATCGGCAGATCAAAATCATCAGCACCTTCAGGCTGTGCAACACCGCCGAGAGAGATACCGCCTTTGCGAAAATCTGAAGAAAACAGGTTGTGGTGACTGTCGACATACATGATGTCTTCAAATTTGGTCACGGACCAATAGGGTCCAAATTGACTGACTTCAGTGTAATGCACGGGGTCTTGTTCGCGCAGGCGGCCGAAGTAGGGCATTTGTCTGGCATCTTCAAACAGGTCGGGGTGGCCCGGATTTAGTTCGCTAAGGGGTATGGTTGCCGGGTCGACGGAGGTGTCGATGGCCCACTCGGCCAGCAGTTCTTCATTTGATCGGGTAAAAATGTCGCCGCGGTTGGCGCGAGGGTTGTTGCTGTCCACTTCGCTCATGATGTCACCGTTTGGGTTTAAAACCTGAGTATAAACACTGACATGAATGTTGGTAGTGCCCTAACTCACGAAATGATGTCTACGATCGCGGCGGTTTCGACGCTCGCCGTTGAGCATCTGACGCGCAGGTAGACCGTTATCGGTATCTCTGCGCATCTCCTCGCGGCGATCAGACATGTGTTTGTAGCGGCAACGGCATTGAGCTGGCTGGTCACAACCGCCCAGCGGTAGCTGAGGGGCGTGAGCGGCTAAAAATTTCTTACCGGTAATTCGCTGCGCGGCTTCACAGCAATCACTGCGGCTGTAAATAGAGACCGCCTGAAAAGACTGTGGTGATTTTCTAGCGGTTACTGGATCCTGTTGACGTTGATGGGTACGTCGAGTGTTGTCCTTTTTACTGGCGTCGAATAATTTTTTCATCCAACTGTTCATGACTTCCAATCCCAATTCTCAACTTCTTGGTGCGTCTGCGGCTCTTGGTCTCCTGCTTAACCTGTGCTGTTCGTTCGGCGCCTGAGACTGTCTTAAGCTACAAAGATTTAGTTTGGAGACGCTTAAGAATGAGCGTACGCGACTGCGTACAGGCTAAGCAAGTTTTCGCGATCGTAACATAGTGTAATTGCACTAGGACTAAGCCTTAATGAAAACGATGTAAAATTTCCCTGCTTTCACGCCATCCATAGCGGACTGCCTTCACGGTAACGCTGCTTAACTGACTGTCTTTGATGCTGACGGGTTGTGTATATAAATGCCAGTTGGGGTTACTACTTAGTCGGTATCCGATGGATGCATCATTCTCGCTGGTCAAGATCAAGATACCGTTTTTGATGACAACAGAGGGGGGTGGTGTCTGTGGCAACGCGCCGTCCTGCAGATACATAGCGCGCAGCTCTGCTTCCGGTATAGCGCCTGTATCGCCGATTTCTGCGAGGAAAGTATCTAAGGCGCTGCGCATATCCCTCAATATTGTCTGATGGTCAGTTGAGCTCGCCAGATTAGTCAGTTCATGCGGGTCAGCCACAATATCGTAAAGCTGCTCCGCACCGGCGGGCTTAAACCAGCGGAATTGCACGGCTGGCAATGTGCCTGCCTGCCAGGCCTTTCGCCAGACTCTGACCATATCCAGATTATCCCGATAGTTCAGCGGATGTCCGCCGGCAACATCGGGGTACCAGCTTTTTATATATTTATATCTGTCGCTGCGAATGCTGCGCTGCCGGTCCATGATCTCATCGATACGATCGCGTGATGCATAAACGTAGGTTCGGTTCGAAGTCAGAAAATTTTCACCGTGCAGATAAGGGGGTGCTGTCACTCCGGCAAACGCCAGCAGTGTCGGGGCGAGGTCAACAAAACTCACCAGGCGGTGATCGACGGTGTCGTTCCTGGTTGGGGGCTCGGTCGCGGTTGTGGCGGCGAGTGCCGCTGGCACGTGCAGGACCAAAGGTACCTTTGTGCCAGAGTCAAACAATTCTCGCTTTGCGCGCGGCAGGCCATCGCCGTGATCGGTGGTCCAGACAATCAGTGTGTCGTTTTTCAAGCCGTCTGCTTCAAGCGCGGCAAGAATTTCTCCTACGCGCCTGTCCATAGCGTGAATGTTGTCGTAGTGGCGCGCCATGTCAGCGCGCACTTCAGGTAAATCCGGATAGTAGGGTGGCAACACCACCTCGGCTGGATCAGTGATGGCAGGTGCAACAAGACCGCGTGCCTGGCGCATCTTCTGGGTTGCTGCGTGGGCCGGGCTGTGGGCCGGGCCTGTGGCCTGCATCACGCCGCTTTCGTGGGTCTCCAGAAAGTTGATCAGCGCAAAAAAAGGTTGTCCGGGTGCACGATTACGCCAGGCGGTCGGCACCGCGCCGTCTTCGTCCCATATTGTAAATGGACCACTGCCGGCGTAGACGCTGCTGAACTGATAATCCAGTTTCTGATCGGTGTAGGTGTAGTAGCCGGCAGCCCGCAGTAGTTCTGGAAAAGCTCTTACGCCTGCAGCAGGTTGTGCAAGATAAGGTCCCAGAGGACCGGTTGTGGTGCGCATGTGCTGGCCACCAAAACTGATCTGGTGCTGACCGGTAATCAGCGCGGCGCGACTAGGGGCACAAACGCCTGCGGTTGTGAACACATTGGTATAGCGGGTGCCCTGGGCGGCAAGCTGATCAATGTTCGGTGTCTTGGCCAGGGCATCACCGAAACTGCCGATGCGTGGGCTGAGGTCTTCTGCGACCAGGAGCAGAATATTCGGTTGGAAAGGATTGGCACTGTCTGTTTCTGTGTCAGCCTGGATTGACGCGCTGACGAAAAAAAAAGTGCACACAAAGGTAAAGATAAAACCTTTTCTCACAGGTACATAACCGACAATAACCATGTCAACGTGATCCACATGAGAATAGTCAAAGGCACGCCCACTTTGACAAATTCACGGAAGGTATAGTTGCCGGCACTCATCACCAGTAAGTTTGTCTTGTAAGCCATCGGTGTTGCGTAGCTCATGTTAGCCCCAAACAGAACTGCCAGCACAAAAGGTTCTGCAGGCAGTTGTAGTGCCTGAGCAATACCGACCGCGATAGGTGTGCCGATCACCGCTGCGGCATTGTTGGAGACGATGTTGGTTAAAACCGCCAGCAGTAACATCAGGGCCGAGAGCACAACAATCGGCGGGGAACCTGCTGTCACGTACAGAAATACTTCAGTCAGATAAACCGTGGCACCGGTAACCTGTAGCGCCATCCCCAGCGCCAGACTTGCAGCAACTACAAAATAAACGGATGGGCTGATCGCGCGCAGCGACTCACCTATGGATAGACAGCGTGTTAACAGCATTGCTGCGCAACCGGCGACCGCGGTGATGGCGATGGGCATGATGCCCAGGGCGGCTATGGCGACAACAGTTGCCAGAATGCCCAGAGCCAGCGGTGCGCGGGCTGAACTGGGCAGGTCGATACTGCTGTCCAACACCATAAACTCGGTGGAACGTTTCAGCAGGCTGAGCTGTTCCTTGGGGCCCTGTACCAGCAACACGTCGCCAGGCTGGAGAATCACTTCGTGAATTTCCTCCGTGGCACGCCATACATCTTTGCCGGCGCGATGTAATGCAAGTACCGCAAGCTGGTAGCGATCGAGAAAGCGCGCATAACTCAGGTTGGCCCGGTCGAGGCTGGAACCCTGCACAACGGCAATTTCAGCCAGGGTCTGATTGTCGCCAGCCAGCGGATGTTCATCGTCTACACGGGTGTCACCTGAGTACAATTCAGCTTTCAGCGCTTCTTCGAACTTCTTCAGGTTGCTGGGTGTGTCCTGTACACGAAGTCTATCGCCGACTTTCAGCACCACATCCGGCAGCGGCATGACCATGGTTTCGCCTCTACGGACGCGCACCACTTTCATATCACCACCTGTAAGTGCGATGGCTTCACCCAGAGTCTTGCCCAGCACAAGAGAATTTTCTTTCAGCAGCAGGCGGGCGTTAAACAGACGTGGCGAAGGATCCAACAGTTTGGATTCGCGTTCTGGCAGAAGCAGAGGGGCTATCAGCCACAGATAGACGACACCTACGCAGGCAGCAATAGACGCGGGCAGCGCAAAATCGAATAAGCCAAATGCTTCTAGCCCCAGATCAGCCGCTACGTTGACAACCAGAAGGTTCGTTGAGGTGCCGATGGTGGTCGCCATACCCCCGAGGAGCGTCGCAAAACCCATCGGCATCAACACTTTTGCTGGCGATGATTTGTTGCGCAGGCAGACGCTGATCAGTATCGGTAACAGCAATACGACGATAGGCGTGTTGTTAACAAAAGCGGACAGGAACGCACCCACCACAAGCGTCAACAGCAGAGAAAGGAAAGGTGCGCGCCCCCATAGTTTACCCAGCATGCGGCCAACCGGTTCCAGTGCGCCAGTTCTTACCAGACCCTGACCAAGAATCATGAGTGCACATACTGCAATCAACGCTTCATTGGCAAAGCCGGCAAATAGATCTACCGGGTCGAACTCGGCATAAGGAAATAGAGCGAATACAACAACCAGAATGACCAGCAGTGACACCGAAGTCACTTCCAGCAGCCAGTTGTCTTTGCTGAATGCGTAAAGCGCGGCAATCGTCAACAGCATCACGCCAAGGGCGTGCAGGTTAGGCAGGTCCGGAAATTCAATCATTAGGTGAATCGAACTTTTCGACGAGGTCTGTCAGTGCCTGAATCTGGTGTTTACGCCAGGAAATTTCGGAAGCGTGTTTTTCCGCGTCCTGGTCTTCGAGTTCTTTAATTTCCGCACCAAGGGTTCTGGCGTGCTCACGAAATCGTTCAATGCGTGCAGCAAGGTCAGCTCTATCGAACATCATGCGTTCGGCTTTACCATGATCGCTGTCGTCTTCAGAGGTGACCTGCTCCACCGGCACCACAGGTTTTTCAGGATCAAGGGGCCGTTGGTTCATAACCGAAGGCGTCATGATTTCGACGCCCCCATTGTGCAGCGTGTCGAGTATCTGTGCTTTCAGATCGCTGCGCATACTGACAAGTTTACCGACGTCTGTCAGAAAGCCAGTTACCCGGTAACGCACGGCGAAGTCACCAATATCGAGGATCTGCACAAACGGGTCGGTTAAACCCGCTGCCTCAGCGGCAACAAGTAACAGCTCACGAACTTTGCGCCGATGTGTGTCATAGCCAATACCAATTTCGGCAGAAACCAGAGTGCCACTCTGATCTACAATTTTGACCGGGTTGCTGATGACAAACATGTTGGGTAAAGCGATGGCGTCGCGGTCCTCGCTCTGAATTTCGGTATGCAGGAGGGCTTTGGCGGTAACCCGGCCAAACTGATCCAGAACCTGGATAAAGTCTCCTGTTTTGAATGTGCCCATGGCTTTCAGCATCAATCCCGCCATAGCGTTACTGACAAATGAAGTGGACGATAATGCAATGACGGCGGTTAGGGCATAACCAAACAGGGTCAACAGCTGGCTTTGGGTGGCATCGTCAAACGGCAGTGCAATAGCCAGCGCCATCTGGGAGAAAATAAACAATCCGACAAACGCGAGCTGTCTATAAAGGCGGTTATTGGGGTGATTCAGGTAGCTTTGCCCCAACAGCCAGCCAGCGCCAGCCGTAACCCCTGTGATGATCAGCAGAGGTACTCCCCAATCGATAATGCTTGTTGGTAACCATTCCATTGGCGGCATTGTACGTGGATGCATGGCTGGCAAGAAGGACTACAATTAACAGGTGAGCCTGTGATACATTGCCGCGCCATGAATATGTGTAAACGATTGCAAACTACCAGCGACCAGCGCACCCGAACTATCGGGTGGGCTTGAGGCGTCGCAAGGGCGATTATTACGCGCAGCGGCGACTCTTAACGGGGCGCTGCTTAATAGACCAAACCCCGGAAGGCAGCGCCCCCGGGGTTTTGTGTTTTTGTGCTGAGAAAATGGGAATTGATAATGGCTACTTTTGAACACAGTGGTGAGAACGAGGTGCAGGACGAGCTATACAAGGTTCGGCACAGTCTGGCGCATGTTATGGCCCAGGCTGTACTGGAAATGCGCCCGGGGAGTACCTTAGGTTTTGGGCCACCTATCAGCGACGGCTTCTATTACGACTTTATTTTAAGTGCGCCGCTCACCGATGAAGATTTTCCTGACCTGGAACGTCGCATGAAAAAGATCTGCAAAAAGGGCCAGCGTTTCGATCGCGAAGATCTTGATGCGCAAGCAGCCCTGGCGCGCATTGATGAAATGGGTGAACCCTATAAAAAAGAATATGGCGCGGAGCTGATCGAAAAACACGGTTTGGAAGGGCTGTCGTTTTATCGTAATGGCCCATTTCTCGATATGTGTGAAGGCCCTCATGTGGCGACCACCAAAGATATTCCCCGAGATGCGTTCAAGATTCGCAGTGTTGCTGGCGCTTATTGGCGGGGTAATTCAGACAATGTGATGATGACGCGGATCTATGTGTGGGCATTTCTCGACAAGGAAACCCTCGATCAGCATGTACAGGCGTTTACCGAAGCCCAGGCGCGGGATCATAAAAAACTTGGCCGTGAGCTGAGCATCTACGCTATCGATAACGATATTGGTAAAGGTCTGCCGTTATGGTTGCCCAATGGCACCGTCATTCGAGACGAACTGGAGAATTTTGCCAAAGAGCTCGAGTTCCAAGCCGGTTTCAAGCGTGTGGCAACACCGCACCTGGCTAAAGAAAGTCTGTATCACACTACCGGGCATCTGCCATATTACGCAGAAGACATGTACCCGGCGATGGAGGTGATGGAGTCTGCTGAAGATGCCGAGGCGCATGAAGGTGAACGTCGGATCAAAGAGTCTTATCGTTTGCGCCCAATGAACTGTCCACACCACCACAAGATATTTTCGGCAGAGCCGCGCAGCTATCGTGACCTGCCGCTGCGCCTGGCTGAATATGGCCAGGTGTATCGGTTTGAAGATTCCGGTGCGGTAGGTGGACTGGTACGTGTACGCGGTATGGCCATGAATGACGCCCATATTTATTGCACTCAGGAACAGCTTAAAGACGAATTCAAAGCGGTTATCGAAATGTCTAAACAGGCATACGCGGTGCTGGGTCTGGATGATTTTAAGATCCGCCTGTCCGGCTGGGATCCGGAAGATCCCAAAGGCAAAGACAAGTATGTCGATAACCCACAAGCCTGGGCGGATTCCGAAGCGTTGTTGCGCGAAGTGATCCAGGAGCTGGATATTCCCTATACCGAAGGTGTGGGTGAAGGTGCATTTTATGGGCCTAAACTGGATTTCCAGTTTGTCACTGTGACCGGGCGTGAAGAAACAGTATCAACGGTGCAGCTTGATTTTGCGGTACCCGGGCGCATGGGACTTACTTATGTGGGGCCCGATGGCGCCGAACATACGCCGTTCTGTATCCACCGTGCGCCGTTCAGCACGCATGAACGATTTGTCGCCTTCCTGATCGAGCACTATGCAGGCGCATTTCCGACCTGGCTTGCACCTCTACAGGCGCAGATTTTAACTGTTGGCGAACAATTTGATGAGTATGCGGATGGTATTGTCAGCCAGTTGCGTAGTCATATGATTCGCGCTGAGCGCGCACCTTCTGATGACACGTTACCGAAAAAAATCCGTCAGGGTACGGTACAGAAAATTCCGAATCTGGTGATTGTTGGTGAGCGCGAAGCGGCAGAGGGCACCGTTACGCTGCGGCGTTATGGTCATCGCCAGCAGCACACCATGAGTGTTGATAGCTTTGTTGCTGCCATGCTGCAGACAGTGAAGCAGCGTGCCCTGGAATTTGAATTGCCCGCGGATCTGGCAAGCTGAAATACAGCCAATAAAAAAGCCGGCTCGAAAGCCGGCTTCTGGCACGCGGGTAATTCGGCGCTTATCCCTCGACGTCAGTATCTGCATCCGCGGTGGGTTGCGGTAGAGGTGTGCCGGTACTTGCCGTAGAGATACTCGCCGGTGTTTCCAGCTGAGCAATCTGCATGGAAAGGCCCATCAGATCGAGTAGCACTTTGCCGGCTTCTTCCAGCATCGCGTCGTCTTCTACAGCCTTGATTTCAACGTCCTCCTCTGTTTCCCCAGGTGCTTGTGCAGCGTCCGCAACCAGTTCGGCATCAGCATTGTCGGTATCGCTGGCTTTTTCTGCAGCTTCTTTGGCTTCCTTTTCAGCTTCTACAAGGTCATCCAGGTGATCCAGCGACGTGGCCAGTTCTTTACCTTTGGCTGCGCGAAGCATGTTTTCGAGGTCAAGACGCCACTGGTCGTCAGCTTCTTTCTGAGCCAGCCGCTTATCTTTGTTCAGTGAAACGTGGGTTCTGGCGGCCGCTTCTTTGCTTTTTGCTGCCAATGCGCGCACATAGTTGAAGTCGACGTTGTCAGCGACGCGTGCTTCGTGGCGCCGTTGTAACTCGCCGATGAAAGGGGCGATGGCGTTATTGTGGTCATAAACCGCGGGTTGGATCATGTCCCAGGGCATGGCATCTTCCAGCGAGCTTTCGCCAATCTGGTCGGTGTCATACAACTCAGGGAAGGACACGTCGGGTAACACACCCTGATGCTGGGTGCTTTGGCCAGAGACCCTGTAAAACTTGGCGGCGGTAATCTTCAGCTGGCCACGATTCAATGGTATGAGCGTCTGTACGGTACCTTTGCCGAATGTCTGGCTGCCAATAATGACGCCGCGACCGTAATCCTGAATAGCACCTGCAAAAATCTCGGACGCCGAAGCAGACAGCCGATTAACCATCACGGCCATGGGACCGTCCCAGGTGATGTCATCGTCAGTGTCCGCATACACATTGGCCCGTCGCCGCGCAGATTTCACCTGCACGGTGGGACCTGATTCGATGAACAGTCCGGTTAGCGTATCTGCTTCCTGCAGTGAGCCGCCGCCGTTATTGCGCAAATCGATCACCAGGCCGTCGATACCTTCTTCTTCGAGCTTGTGAATCAGGTTTTTCACATCCCGCGTGGTGCTGCGATAATTGTCGTCACCCTGCTGGGCGGCACGAAAGTCGACATAGAAAGTAGGTACATCGATGATGCCGATCTTGTATGCCCGGTTGCCCTGCTCAAGTGTCAACAGTTTGGCTTGTGCCGCCTGCTCTTCCAGCTTGACGGTATTGCGTGTAATTGCGACAACCTTGCTGACTTCGTCTTTACTGTCGGATGGTATTACTTCCAGGCGGACGGTTGAATCTTTCGGGCCGCGGATCAGTTCAACCACGTCATCAAGGCGCCAACCTACAACATCGATAAGCGGGCCGTTTTCGCCCTGGCCCACACTGATAATTTTATCCTCTACACCAATAGAGCCTTCTTTATCGGCGGGGCCTGCGGGTACCAGTCGAACCACCGAAGTGGTGTCGTCTTCACTTTTCAAAACAGCCCCAATACCCTCAAGAGACAAAGACATATTGATGTTGAAGTTCTGCGAGGTGCGCGGCGAGAAGTACTGGGTGTGTGGATCGTAAGTGGTCGCAAACGAATTCAGGTAAACCTGGAAGGCATCTTCGCTTTTGGTCTGTACAGCCTGCTTCAGGCGATTCTTGTATCGCTTGGTCAGAGATTCGCCGATCTTTTCGACTTCTTTGTCATTCAGCTTCATCGACAGAACCGCGGCTTTCAAACGCTTACGCCACAGTGCGTCGTGTTCAGCCTGATTTGCTGGCCATGGAGAATTTTCCCGGTCGATTTCAATGTCTTCGTCGACGGTGAAGTCGATGTTCTCGATACCCCCTTCAATCTCGTGAATGAGGAAATTCAGGCGATCAACCACCCGTTCCTGATATCTATTAAACATCGTGAAAGCAGCGTCGAGATTGCCGCGTTTTAACGCATCGTCCAGTTCATAGCGATAAGCTTCGAATTCTGCAATGTCGGTGGCTAAAAAGTAGGAGCGGCCGCCGTCCAGGGTTTCAAGGTAGTTGTCGAAAACGTGGCTCGAAATGCCATCGTCTAAAGGTTTTTTTACAAAGTGATTGTGGCGCAGCTGTTCAACCACAGTGAGGCTGGTGCGCGCGTGCACGTCCAACGGCTCCAGCACAGGCGCTTTGACATCAACAAAAATCTCTTTTTCGGCGCTTTTTGCAGTTTCTGCAATTTCACCCTGGGCCAGTGCTATAGATGCGAAGCTGCCGAAGATAAAAATCAACAGGGCTCGAACGCCGCGATTAAACTGCAAATTCATTCTTGTATACCACCTATGCAGCAGACGTATAAATCCCCCCGCCAATGCCGCAACGTCTGCTAAGATGCGGCTCCAAGGCTTGTGGCACGAAATAAACGTGGCACATATATGTGTGACTGGCGCGATAATGACTTGGTTCCCCATCATATACATTGTTTGACGGCAAAAACTTGCAAAACAAGCGGCTGTCCAACAACGTATGCCGGGCTGCGTCAGCGGTCCAACAAGGCCTGGGGCCCTTTTTATGTTCCCCAGAGGGACTTATGTTTCCCCAGAGAAGCGATGTCACCCAGGCAGGTTACCAAACTCACGAGTAGGTCCTGTGTGGAGAATGTAACCCGGTAGTAATACAGGCCGCAACTAATGGTAAATCGATAAATAAGGACGCGAAATTGAAGATTCAATCCAAATCAGGCGTTTTGGGCAAATGCGTATTCGGAAATACGGGCGTGCTGGCCTATCTTGGGCTGGCACTATTACTGGCTGGCTGTGACCAGTCGGCAATTGCAGAAAGTGAAACAACAAAGGCAGAGGGTGAGACAGTGGCTTTAGACAGTGAAGTAAAAGAGGCCAGCTATCTGCTGGGATTTAAGCAGATCGAAGACCTGCTGCAACAAACAGACGGTGTTATCGATGCGGATGCCTATCTGCAAGGTGCCAAAGATTTTGTTGGCGACAAGACCAGTCAGGTGAGCGACGCGGATCAGCAGCGGGTTTTTACCGCACTTCAAGCTGCTGTGGGCGCAAAACAGGCGGAAGCCAGCGCTGGTGTGCGCGAAGCGGGTGAGGCTTTTCGTGCGGAATACGCGACGCGAGAGGGGGTAACGCAGCTGCCTTCGGGATTGTTGTATGAAGTGATTACTGAAGGCTCAGGTCCTAAACCAACGGCTTCAGACACAGTAACCACCCATTACCATGGCACATTGGTTGATGGCACTGTGTTCGACAGCTCTGTTGATCGTGGTCAACCGGCCAGTTTCCCGGTGAATGGTGTGATTGCAGGATGGACTGAGGCCCTGCAGTTGATGAACACGGGTTCGAAATGGCGCCTCGTCGTACCGTCCGACCTTGCTTATGGTGATCGTGGCGCAGGCGGGCAGATCAAACCCGGCGCAACGCTTATCTTCGAAGTGGAATTGCTGGAAATCAACTAGCACCCCGTCGCTCTGTGGGCGGCTAGTCCGGGTCCGGTTCCAGGACCAGACCCAACGGCTCCACTAAAGCTATTAACTGGCTGTAGTGGAGTTTGACGCCCGCCAGGCTGATGTCGCGCGGGTGCAGGTTATTAAAGCTGCTGCCCCGCAGATCAGCGTTTTCAATATTCAGACCTGTCGCGCTGATATTATGCAGTTCAGAACCCGCGAGATTAGCCCCGCGTAAATTGCAGTGGTCGAGATTGGCCTCTATCAGCCGGCTGTCCGTGATCGTACACTCGACCAGGAAGTTTTCTGCCAGCGTGCCGTAGGCGAAGTTGCAGTGCTGCATGGTGAAATCGGTCAGCTCGGTGCCAGAAACAGGCATGCGGCAGTCGATCCTGGAAAGGTCAGCGCCCTGCAGCTGGCAGTGTTCAAAGTGCAACGCATATGCCTCGCAGCGCACAAAATCCACAACGGTCAGATTGCAGTGGCTGAAATGTACTTCACGCAGATTTGCCTGGCTGAAATCCGCTGGCTGTTGTGATGTTGCATCATTGAACTGACAGCGAATAAATTCAGTCCTGCTGAGGTCGGTGGCGCGGAAATTGCTGCCGGCGAACTGGCAATCGGTGAAAACACAATCGCGCAGGGTGCTGTGGCTGAAATCCTCTCCGCTGAAATCTTCAGCTTCAATCACAGCTTCATCTTGTAGTTTTGTCACCGGCAGCACTTACATGAAAAAAACGTCAGCTGTAGGATACAAGCCACGCTGGGGAGGCGGGGAATATTTCTTGCAGCAAGAGAGTGAGTCATCGATCTGGCAAAACGGCCAGTTTCGCGCATATCTGAGTGCCAGCGCCTTTTCCGGCATGGCGCTGGCCATGCAGCAACTGCTGTTGAGCTGGATTCTGATCGGTATTCTACTTCTCCCTGCCCACCAGGTGGGCCTGATCCAGGCATTGATCGGTATCCCAGGCGTGTTTCTGATGCTCATGGGCGGTGCCAGTGCTGATCGCGCGGACCCGCGTAACCTGCTCATTCGTATTTATGCGGTTGCGCCCATCTTTCCTCTGTTTCTCATCGCTATGGATGTCAGCGGCTGGTTTGCCGTCTGGAGTGTCATTTTGTGGGGGCTGGGCATGAGCTTTGTGCAGTCGTACTCAATGCCTGCGCAGCAGGCCATTCTCAATCGCATCAGTGGCCAGCATCTGCAACAAGGTGTTACCGCTGCGACAGCTGCAGGCTTTATCGTGCAGGTGTTCGGACTGGGACTGGCGGGTCAGATAGATCGGTGGGGGATCTCTCCTGTGCTGCTGTCACAAGCCGTCGTCATCGCCCTCGCGTCGTTTGCAATGACGCGCATTACTGCGGTGGTGACCATTGATCCCAAGCCTGAGCAGTCAGCAGTACGAGGCATCATTGAAGGTCTGCAGGCGACCTTGCGCAGCAAAATCATTTTCAATGTACTGGTCATCAACTTTGTCTCCAGCATCTTCAACGCCGGTTCCTTCATCACCGTCTTTCCTTTTATCGTAAAGCGTATCTATGAAGGTGATGCCTGGACTTTGTCGGTATTGATGGCCATTTTCTTTGCTGGTGCTGCCGTTTCCAACGCCTTGTTGCTGAAGTTCATGCCGCTCGTGCGTCCCGGACGTTTGTTTCTGCTGATGCAGCTTTCACGCATCATCGTGCTGTTGATGATTTATGTACGGGGAGATTTCTGGTTGCTGGTGCTGGGTACATTCGGCTGGGGTCTGAACATGGGCATTACCAGTAATCTGGCTCGAACCATTGTGCAGGAGTCGGCGGAACCCGCTTATCGCGGGCGCATCCTGTCGGTATTCAGCGTGGGTATGGTGGGCAGCGCGCCCATAGGTGCTGTGGTATTGGGCTGGCTTATTGAAACCTTTGGTACCCTCAACGCCCTTTGGCCGGCGATGATTTTGTCCGCGGTGTTGTGCGCTTATGGTGCCTGGTTCACCAATGTCTGGCGCTATCAGAGTCCCACCTGAGAGTTTTGATGGTGTCATCACGGCCTTGGCTTTAGGCTATGTCTTTTAGCCTGGACGTTCACATTGATTAATGATGAAGCCCATATCCGTCGCGATTACGCTCAGGGCATTCTGTCCCGGGATTCGTTGGCGCAGCAGCCCCTCGAGCAATTTGAAATATGGTTACAACAAGCCATCGCTGATAATGAAGCCGACGCAACCGCCATGTCGTTGGCCACCGTGAATGCACAGGGACATCCTTCAGTGAGGATTGTCCTGTTAAAAGGACATGGTGAACGAGGTTTTGTCTGGTATACGAGCTACGCCAGCCACAAAGGCCAGGACCTCGTCGTGAATCCGAATGCTGCGCTGATGTTTTACTGGCGTGAAAGTGAGCGGCAAGTTCGCATCACCGGTACTGTCAGTAAGCTGAGCGGTGAACAGAATGAAAGTTATTTCCGCACCCGACCAAGAGAAAGCCAGCTGTCAGCCCTGGCCAGTCAACAATCCCAGGAGATCGCTGACCGTTCTGCGCTGGAGGCGCGGGTTGAGGCATTAAGCGCGCAATACAACAATACTGACGTACCTGTGCCAGACAACTGGGGGGGATACATACTCTCGCCCCTACGCTACGAATTCTGGCAGGGCAGAGTAGGGCGGTTACATGACCGTTTCAGTTATGAGAAACAGGACAACCGCTGGTTGATCAAACGCTTGCAGCCTTAAAGGGTTCTAACGGCTCGCCGGGCAAAGGGTGGCTATTTTGTTGCCAACCAGAGCCAGACAGAAATTTTCTCCGCATTGCGCCGCAAGGGTCTCTACCGCGGTGACGTCTATCTTGTCCCGCGCCATCAGTTCGCCTACCAGGTTCGAACTTGAAGGCCGAATGCCATAGCAGGGTGGATAGGTGTACAAGCTGGGATAGCGCGCCACAATTTCGTCGTAAGCGATTTGTTGGGGGCTCTTCTCTGCTTCCCGGTTTGCGGGATTTTCGGTTCCCAACTCGGCCAGCAGCAGATTTGATCGATACAGATAGGTTTTCATGCGGCCATCGTCGCGTTTCAGCAACAGCATTTCGGTGACCTCGTTGCCGGCTAGATCCTGACCGGAAAAGTTGAGCTCAATAAACTCCCCACAAACGGTTTCAAAACAGTCTCTGGTCGTAATATCGGTGATCTGTCTTGATGCAGAATCTACTTTTGATGCGAAGCTGAGCATTTGGGCGCACGATACTGCAGGGTGTTTAAGTAGACCTAACCCATGGCAGTTTTCATCCCCGTCTGCGCCTTTGCCCGCTAACGCAAACCACTGTTGCGCATGTGCAAGACTGGCGTCCTGCAATTCTGCGGCTTTGTCGGTACACGCCGCTAAAAACAGAACCAGGACCGCCGTTATGGCGACCCTGGTCAGGCGCTTGTCAGAATAGGGTGTCGCCTTAGACACGTTCGATGATGATGGCAGGGGCCATACCACCGCCGGTACACATGGTGACCAGACCGGTTGTCAGGTCGCGACGTTCCAGTTCATCCAGCACGGTGCCGATGAGGATTGAGCCGGTGGCTGCAATCGGGTGACCCAATGCCATGGCGCCGCCATTGACGTTGACTTTCTCTGGATCCAGTTCCAGGTCGCGGATGAATTTGGCTGCAACCACTGAGAAGGCTTCGTTGACTTCAAACAGATCAATATCGTTGGTGGTCATGCCGGCGCGGGCCAGGGCTTTACGCGCAGCAGGTACCGGTTCGTTGAGCATTAAGGTTGGATCGCCACCCACAGTTGCAATGGCGCGAATCCGGGCGCGAGGTTTCCAGCCGGCCTTGTCTGCGTAGGCTTTGCTCGACAGAATTAAAGCCGCCGCACCGTCAACCACGCCAGAGCTGTTTCCCGCGTGATGTACATGGTTGATGGTCAGGTCAGGATAGGCTCGCTTCACCAGTTGATCAAAAGTTTCGCCCGTGTCGTCGATAGGTGCGTTCATGAACTGATCAAACACCGTACGTAGTTCAGCCAGCGACGCCATGGTGGTGCCAGGGCGTGGAAATTCTTCGCGATCCAGAGCCAGCGTGCCGTCGTCGTTAAATACAGGGATCAGGCTTTTGTCGAAGTAGCCGTTATCGATGGCATGTTTTGCCCGTCTTTGGCTTTCTACGGCCAGCGCATCTACATCTTCACGGCTGAAGCCTTCAAGGGTCGCAATCATGTCTGCACAGATGCCCTGGTGAGGCTGTGGGTGCAGGTTACGTAGATGCAGGTTGCCGCCATCAACGGTACGGTTGTTGTTTTCAGGCACGAGGGTTGCAGTGTACGACATCATCTCAACGCCACCGGCAACACAGAGCTCGTCCATGCCACTCATGATATTTGCCGCAGCGAGGTTCACCGAGGTGATGCCCGAGCCACAGAAACGGTCCAAAGTGACAGCACTGGCGTTTTCGCTCCAGCCAGCGTCAAGCGCAGCCATGCGACCCACACAGGAACCTTGTTTACCCACTTGAGAGCTGCAGCCGACAACCACATCGTCAATGTCTTCGGTGTTCAGGCTGTTGCGCTCTGCAATGCCTTCAAACACTTTGGCCAGGAGACGGCTGGGATGAAATTCAGATAGCGCACCTTTACCTGCTTTGCCTATCCCACGTGGCGTGCGCGCGGCATCAATGATGTATGCATCAGTCATAGGTTCCTCTTCTCAGGCATAAACATTTGGTCCGACAGTTTAGCGGAAAACAGGTAAAAAATAGACTCTGGGTGATACGACGCTTTGTGATGTTGGATATCTGCCCAGGCGCACCTTAAGATCGGGGAACAATCCCCCTGCAGGCAGCATCGGTGACAGAGTTTAACCAACCATTAGGTGGCAACGACATGCCACGATTTGGCGGACCGGCAACGATGTTCCGGCTGCCCACAGCACCAGTAAGTGCAGCACTGGATATAGGCATTATTGGTGTACCGCTGGACTGTGGCACAAGTAACAGAGCGGGTGCGCGTTTTGGCCCGCGGCAGATCCGCGCCGAGTCGGTGCTGGTGCGCCCCTACAGCATGGCGACGGGTGCTGCGCCGTTCGACAGTCTGCAGATTGCTGACGTGGGTGATGTTGCTCTGAATACTTATAACCTGGCGGCTTCAATCAGTTTGATCGAACGCCACTACTCAGCCTTTGTTGAGGCGGACGTAAAACCACTTTCCATGGGCGGCGATCACACCATTACCCTGCCCATACTGCGCGCATTACATAAACAGCACGGACCTCTGGCCGTCGTGCACGTTGATGCACATGCTGATATGAACGACACAATGTTCGGTGAGCGCGAAACCCACGGCACGGTATTTCGCCGCGCTTTGGAAGAAGGATTGATCAACCCCCATAAAATGACGCAAGTTGGTTTGCGGGCCACCGGCTATGCAGCTGAAGATTTTGATTGGGCGCGGCAGCGTGGGGTTGAGGTTGTGCAAGCCGAGGCCTGCTGGTACCAGTCTCTTGCGCCACTGATGCATAGTGTGCGCCAGCGTATAGGACCCTCTACACCGACCTACCTGTCTTTCGATATTGATGGTTTAGATCCGGCAGTGGCGCCCGGTACGGGCACGCCTGAGCCTGGCGGGCTAAGTGGATCACAGGGGCTGGAGATTATCCGCGGTATCTTTGGCCTTAATCTGATTGGCGCTGATCTGGTTGAAGTGTCGCCACCCTACGATACCAGTGGCAATACCAGTCTGCTGGCTGCAAATTTATTGTTTGAAATGCTGTGTAGTTTTCCAGGCTGCGAACGGCGCACGTGAAACGATATCCTCACCTATCGAAACAACTGAGAAATACATTCAAGCCGCCCAGCTCTGATAATGCAGTTTATGGAGAGTTATCGGATAATTTTTGCCTTGGGGTTGGCGTTTGCAGTGCATGTAGTGGCGCTCTGGTGGTGGTCTGAAAGACCCGTTGTAGAACACAATAAGTCTGCGGCTACGATTGAACTGGTACTCACCCAGATCTCGCGCCCTCCTGAACTTGTGCAACCTGATCAAGCGGTTGAAGAGGTCGAGGACGGTGAGATCCTGCCAGACCCGGGTGGTGCGATGCCACCTGAACCTGCTGTGATATCTCAACCCGCCGCTTCGATGGAAGCCACCCCTCCTAGCCTCGATCTGACACGTCCTGATAATTGGGCTGAAGTGGCGCCGATGCCTGATAGCGCTGAAGGATTTGTGCGGGCATTTCGTGGTGAGTTTTACCAGAGACTCGAGCAGCGCCAGATATCCCAGGCGCGTAGTCAGTTTCTGTCCGGGCGCCGCGTTGCTCAACGTGGCTTGCCTGCTGATCAGTATAATGCGTTGGAACAACCCGGCTCAGGTCACTATAAAACCGCTGCAGGGTGTTTTGATCTGAAGCCGGATATTGTTGGCACCATCGGCGGTGGTCAGCGCGCCTGGATGAGCGCCTGTAAAGATCTGATCCGGTCACCGTTTGAGCTGCCGTCTGTTGAGTTTGATGCCCTGGGTCGAGCGGTTGGGCCCTGATCTAATTGTTCTATACGACGTACGACCAATGTATGCCGCAAAACGTTTTGCAGTCATACTGACACGAACTTCGACTGCAGTTAAAAAAAGAGGAGATGGCAGCTTTGAATGAATTGGGTGGGTTTGGCATGGCTGCGATTGCCATTGCTGGTCTGGTGCTTCTGTGCATCTATCTGGGTGTGCGTATAGTGCCGCAGTCAGAAAAGCATGTGGTTGAACGGTTCGGCCGGCTCAGAGTGGTTTTAGGCCCCGGCATTAACCTGATTGTGCCTTTTCTGGACAGGGTGGCGCATCAGGTATCGATTCTGGAACGTCAGTTGCCCACGGCCAGTCAGGATGCCATCACGGTGGACAACGTTCTGGTAAAAGTGGATACCAGCGTTTTTTATCGCATTTTAGAACCTGAAAAAACCGTTTATCGGATACGTGATGTGGATGGCGCTATTGCCACAACCGTTGCAGGTATTGTGCGTGCGGAAATTGGCACCATGGAACTGGATCAGGTGCAATCGAACCGATCTGAGCTTATCGACACGATAAAATCCAGTGTGGAAGAAGCGGTGGATGATTGGGGAATCGAAGTCACCCGTGCAGAAATTCTGGATGTGAATCTGGATCAGGCGACCCGGGAAGCCATGTTGCAGCAGCTCAATGCTGAACGGGAACGTCGTGCTCAGGTCACCCGGGCGGAGGGCTCAAAGCGGGCAGTTGAGCTCAACGCTGATGCAGAGCTTTATGCCGCTGAACAAACCGCTAAAGCGCGTCGGATTGAGGCAGATGCCGAAGCCTATGCGACAGGGGTTGTTGCGCAAGCCATTCAAAGCAACGGCCTGGAAGCTGCCCAGTACCAGGTGGCCCTGAAACAGGTTGAAGCTCTGGTTGCCCTGGGCAGTAGTGCGTCCAGTCAGACGGTAGTTGTGCCGGCTTCTGCGCTGGATGCATTTGGAGAAGCTTTCAAAATGTTGCAGGGGCGTTCGTGATGTGGGCGCTGTGGTGGGTCTGGGTGATTGCCGGCGTGCTGCTGGCGATTGTTGAAGTGCTGGTGCCCGGCTATATATTTTTGGGCTTTGCCATTGGCGCCGCCCTGACAGGTTTGCTCCTGCTGGTGGGCGGCTCCCTGGTGCTTTCGCTGCCACTACTCGTGCTGGTGTTTGCGCTGCTCTCCCTGGCCAGCTGGATCCTGCTGCGGCGTTGGGTCGGCGTACGCAAAGGCCAGGTCAAAGTCTGGGACAGCGATATTAACGACCCTTAAAGTCCGGCGCGCGTTTCTCCATAAAAGAAGCCATACCTTCTTTAAAATCGTCGGATTGAAACAGCGGCAGCAGCTGTAGAAACACGTGATGAACGTGATCGTTGAACGTCTCGTTCATGCCCATACGCATCATGCGTTTTGAGGCCTGTACCGCCATCGGCGCATTCTTGGCGATATTCGCTGCTATCTCTGCCGCTTGAGCATGAACTTCGTTGTTATTGACCACATGGGAAACCAAACCCATCTCTTCGCATTCCTTGGCCAGCAGAGTTTTGCCGGTGAAAATAATTTCAGATGCTTTTGACCAGCCGATCAGGCGAGGCAGAATCCAGGTGCCGCCAGACTCGGGGACGATGCCGCGCGCGGTGAAAGCTGCTGCCAGTTTGGCGCCGTCTGCCATGACGCGGATATCACACCCCAGCGCCAGATCCATGCCATAGCCTGCCGCAGATCCGTTGATAGCCGCAATAGTTGGTGTGTCGAGGTTGTGCAGGACGGTGGGTGGTGTGTTGCGCAGATCGAGGTTTCTGAACCCTCTCTTGCCTTCAGATATGTTGTCGGTGATATCGCTGCCGCGCAGGTCCAGCCCGGCACAGAAAAACTTGCCAGTACCGGTCACGACGATTGCACGCACATCGGTGTCTGCGTCTGCTTTAAGCAACAATTCGGAGAGATTATCAAGCATAGACCCATTGATCGTGTTCATTTGATCGGGTCGATTAAACGTGATGGTTGCCACATGATCGCTGACGTCGTACAGCATGTCTTCGCTGGACATAAAAGTTCCTCTACTAAATATGATTGGGTCGATTAAATCGCTTTGCGACAGTAATTCGCTGCCGCATGGCTTGCAAGTCTGGCTTGTTGCTACGAATGTCACAATTGCGAGGCAATTAGCGTGGCGAAGGTTGGAAACACCAACTAGATTAAATAAAAGGTTTTTGTGCAGTAGCAGATGGAACAGAATCAGCAGGGTTTAGTGGACTTACTTGAGATATATCACGCGCGACAGTTGCGCGATCAGATCATTGCGCAATTGCGGCGATTGCGTTCATCCACCGAGCACCTGCCTCTGCATGAACAAGCTCGACGCCGTGAGGTGCGAGGTTACTATGAGGCACTGTTGTTAACCGTGGCAGAACTTCAGCATCAGATGGGTGACGAGACGATTTAGGCTCGAGCGCTTATAACCAGTCTGGAATTTTCTTTTTTTCACACCGCCTCGCGGTATTCCCATTTTTCACTTTCGTGAAAGCGCATCATTAAGCCTGCTCTGAGCTTTTCCCTGGCGGCCATTCGCGTCATCTGATGCAAGCAGGTAGACTCACTGCGCGTGGACCAGTTCGTTAGCGCCAACGCTAAACCAACATCAGGAGCTGAATTTTGCCGTTAGAGGAATTGAGTACAGATTATCTTATCGTTGGCAGCGGCACGGTTGGAATGGCTTTTGCTGATGTCATCGTGCAGGAGTCTGACCTCGATATCATCATCGTAGATATGCACGGTCAGCCTGGCGGGCACTGGAACGATGCTTACCCGTTTGTCACGTTGCACCAGCCGTCATCTTTCTACGGAGTGAGCTCTCTGCCACTGGGGAATGATGGCCTGGCCCAGCAGGGTTTCAACGAAGGCCTGGGAGAACTAGCCACAGGCGCCGAAATAAATGCCTATTTTGAGCAGGTCATGCAGACAAAAATGCTGCCCTCCGGCCAGGTGCGCTATTTCCCCAAGTGCCGCTACACCGGCGATGGGCAATTTGAATCCATGTTGACCGGACAGAAATATCAGGTGACGGCTGACAAGCGAACCGTCGACACAACCTCGTTGAACACCGCAGTACCTTCGACCCATACGCCGAGCTTCACGATTGCCGAGGGTGTACGCTTCATGCCGCTCAACGATTTAACAAAAGTCACCAGTCCGCCCGAAGGCTTTGTCGTAGTTGGCGGTGGTAAAACCGGTGCGGATGCGTGCCTGTGGCTGTTAGAAAACGGTGTTGATCCTGGCTCGATAAGCTGGATTATGCCTCGGGATGCCTGGTGGCTTAATCGTGCCAATGTGCAGCCCCGGGAAGAATTTTTCTTCGCCACCATAGGAACTCAAGCAAATCAATTTGAAGCCGCGGCTAAAGCGACAAGCATGGACGACTTGTTTGATCGCTTGGCAGCCTGCGGCATGTTGCAGAGGCTGGATCCTGCAGTCCGTCCCAGCATGTTTCATGCGGCGATTCTCAGCGACAAAGAGCTGGCAGCACTGCAAACCATCAATAATGTGATCAGAATGGGGCGAGTGACAGAACTGGGGCTGCACGAGATTACGCTGGAAAAAGGCAGCATTCCTACGAGCCCGGAACACCTGCATGTTGATTGCTCGGCCAGCGCCATTCTTGGTCCCTCAATGGCTGAGATAAAACCGATTTTTCAGGAAGGCACAATCCTGCCGCAAACAATAAGGTCCTACCAACCTGCATTCAGTGCTGCAGCCATCGCGCACATCGAAATTGCGTACGATAATGACGAGATAAAAAATGAGTTGTGTCGTGTGGTGCCGCTGCCCAACCATGATAGAGACTGGGTACCCATGACATTAGTAAACATGGCAAATGCTAAGCGCTGGTCTGAAGAACCTGAACTCATGCAATGGCAGAAAGACAATCGCCTTAACGGTTTTTCTGCGTTGGCGGCCAGTGCGGAAGGCGACCCTGAAAAAATGGCGGTTGTACAGAAAATGTTCGCTAACATGATGCCAGCCGCAGTGAATCTGATGAAGCTCATGGATTCAAACGACTGATCTTTGCAAGGTTCCGGCAGATACCGAAAAACGCTTGCGTCATGCTCAGGTCATTTGTGGGTGAGCTAGTCTTCCACCTCTTCGATCTCAACGGACGGTTGTTGCTCACGCGGTTCTATTGTCGGGCCGTCAAACGGGTGAGGTTCTTTAGGTAGAAAGAAAGGACGCCAGTGTGTAATGGGTACGTTTTCGCGATGACCTTCGACCATGCGTATAAACTCGCCGTCATCGCTCAGAATCGCGTAACTCAAATTGCGATCTTCAGGTTTTTTTTGCGAGACGATGTAATCGCCATCTTTGTTGGTATAGGCGTAGACGTCCGCGTTTGTACTTGGTGCAAGAAACAGTAGCCCAAAAACCAGCAATAACACTCGCATGAGTTGCTCACATGTTTGTTCTCGAAGGATCTAAAATTGGCTTAAATAGGCTCGATCTGCAAGTAAAATCGCCTCACGCTATCCAGATCAGCCGATGGTAATACTCTGTGCGTATTTCCCGATCTGAGCTGTAACACCAAACTTTTTGTGTAGTTCCTGCACCAAGGTCTGCTGAGCGGACTGTTCGCCATGTACCAGTACAATGGGCGGCGTACCCTCGAAATGACCATACCATTTCAGCAGGTCAGCCTGATCGCCGTGTGCGGATAAACCCCCAACGGTATGAATGCTGGCACGCACCGGATACTCATCGCCCCATAGGTTTATCGTCTGCGCACCGTCCACAAGTCTTCGGCCCAGCGTGCCGTAAGCTTGAAAGCCGATGATGACAAGGTGAGTTTCCGCCCGTGAGATGTTTGTTTTCAGATGTTGTTTTATCCTGCCGCCAGTGCACATACCACTGCCGGCAACAATGATTGCCCCGGAGCGAATTCGATTAATTGCAATTGACTCCTCGGTAGTGCGGGTCAATAGAAGATTCGGCAAGCCAGGCGTGTCGCCGGCCCGATTAAACAGAGGCACATCGTATAAGTCCTGGAATTGTGCATAAGTCTCCGTAGACCGGATTGCCATTGGGCTGTCCAGAAACACTGTCCAGTTATCCAGGCCCCATTCCTCATAGTGCTGACTGAGCAGGTACAGCAGGTCCTGTGTGCGCCCAACCGCAAACGCAGGGATCAATATGTTGCCACCTCCCGCACGCGCAGCTTCAAACACTTCACCGAGTTCCGCCAGTGTGGATGCATACGCGCGATGTTGTCGGTCGCCGTAGGTGGATTCCATCAGGACCAGATCCGCAGATTCAATTAATGCTGGATCTCTCATCACCGGTGAATCCCGATAACCAAGATCACCGGAAAAAACAAGCTTCGACGTCTTACCGGCTTCCTCGTGCCACAATTCAACGATGGATGAGCCGAGTATGTGCCCGGCATCTGAGAAGCGTAACCTTACGCCGGGCAAAATCTCTTCAACGACACCGTACTGCGTGCCTTGGAACAGTTCGATGGCGCTCAGCGCATCATCCACGTCGTAAAGCGGCTCCACATATTCTTCGGTGTTTTTGCGTCGCTTATTTTCCCATTCAGCATCTTTTGTATGCAGGTAGGCCGAGTCTTGTAACATGATGTCACACAAAGCTTTGCAAGCTGGGTGGGTGTATATGGGGCCCGCATAGCCGCGTTTAACCAGTAACGGCACGCGGCCGGAATGATCGATATGCGCGTGAGAGATAATTACGGCATCCAGTTGCTCTATCGCAAAGGGAAAATCGTCCCAGTTTCGTTGTTCCTGTTCACGCCCCCCCTGGAATAATCCGCATTCCAGCAGAATTTTTTTTGTGCCGCACTCAATGAGATAACAGGATCCGGTAACTTCTTCCGCTGCACCGTAGATTGTTAATTTCAAGAACAGTTACCTTCCATGCTGCTAAAACCTCGTTTTCGATTTATTTTTTCTGATAGCCAAGGCCAGTGTAACTGAAGCTGCTTAAAGACAACCCGTCTGAATTATCTGAGCATAATTCAGTCCGGATTGAAAATTTGTCAGGGCATCCAATATGCACGTTTGTAGGCTGAGTATCGAATGTTCTGCTTTGTTCTGGTGGTCAATCGCATAGAAGTTACGGAATTCCACAATAGCGGTTTCGAGCCAAACTGTGAGAAAAAGATCTGGATATCTATTGAGTCCAAATGAGGGAGCCTGCAATGCACAGAGCGGCGCATTTTTTTGTTACCACTGCAGTGGTGTTTTTTATGGGCATGTTAACAACAG